AGGTTGGACTGTTTTATCCCTTTGTGTAAAGACAGATGCAAAAAATTAGTTAAATAGTTCTGCTTTCTCCCTGTTACTTGTCACCTTCTTCTTTCTTACTCAAATGACTCCCAAACAAGATTGAACAATATATGCATGAAGAACAAACCGAATTCAGACAGTCACTCATGCAGTGAACTGCAAAATCATTCACTGCAAAATATCATTGAACCGAGCAAAGAATACCAAAAGCAAGTGATAATTAACTTTATTGATTTTAAAAAAGCATTTGACTCTGTCAATAGAGAATCATTATGAAACACATTACCAACATAGTATCCTTAAAAGATGTGTTAACATCTTTTTAAAAAATCTTTTCCAACAGCACTAGATGCTATGTAAAAACTGAAAATGGCAATACTGACTCCTTTGCAATTAATATCGGTGTAAGAGGGAGTTGTATCCTATCTCCATTTTTATTTCTGATTATCATGGACCATGCCATGAAACAGGTAATGAATAAGTTGGATTTTGGCATTTCGTGGAATAAACAAGGCAAATGACCTAGATTTGGCTGATGGCATAAGAACTATCAATTGAAGGCAGAGGCAAGTAAAGTGGGCTTAAAAATTATTGAAGACCATCTAATGCAAGCTGGCAATGTTCAAGAGAACATTCCAATAACATTAGTAAGACAGGCCTTAAAATTTGTGAAACAATTTGACTGCGTCATAGATAAAGATAGGAGAACAGAAGCAGATGTGAAATGCTGAATAGCTAAAGAACAACTGCTGTCTTCCAACAAATAACACTCAATATGGACTACCTCCACTATAAGCACAGCAACCAAGATCAGATTATTTAATGCCATTGTCATACCGACGGCCATCTATACCAATGAAACCTGAAAATCTATAACAAGAATTATTCATAAGGTCAATATCTTCCAACAACGTTGTTTCAGAAGGATTCTTCATACACTATATTGCCAAAAGTATTCGCTCATCCAAATAATCAGATTCAGGTGTTCCAATCATTTCCATGGCCACAGGTGTATAAAATCAAGTATCTAGGCATGCAGACTGTTTTTACAAATGTTTGTGAAAGAATGGGTCTCTCTCAGGAGCTCAGTGAATTCCAGCGTGGAACTGTGATAAGATGCCACCTGTGCAACAAATCCAGTCGTGAAATTTCCTTGTTCCTAAATATTCCACAGTAAACTGTCAGCTGTATTATAAGAACGTGGAAGTGTTTGGGAATGACAGCAACTCAGCCACGAAGTGGTAGGCCACGTAAACTCATCCAACATCAGTGTGTGACCTCACAAATGCGCTTCTGGAAGAATGATCAAAAATTCCCATAAACACACTCCTGAACCTTGTGGACAGCCTTCCCAGAAGAGTTGAAGCTGTTATAGCTGCATAGGGTGAATTGATGTCATATTGAACCCTATGGATTAGGAATGGGATGTCACTTACAGAAAGTTCATATGCGAGTAAAGGCAGGTGAGTGAATACTTTTGGCAATATAGTGTATCTCTTATCAGGACTATGGCACAAACAATGAAATTCTACCAAGAGGTAATTCCCAAACACTCACTGAGATACTGACAGAATGGAGAATGCTCTTTGCTCTGCATAAGTGAGCAATGTACAATGAAAACTACAATCAACAGGATACCACTGGATCAGGGGTATCAAACTCACAGCCCATGGGCCAGATGTATCATTCGCTGGCATGGCCATGCTCTGTTTAGCGAAGGGGGCAAAAAGTTGTGATATGTCACGTCAAGCCGCCATGACAATGTGAGTTTGACACCCCTGCACTAGATAATCTGAGAAAAAGAGGAAAGCAAAAACAACAACAACCCTGATGCCAATTATTTGAGGAAGGTCTGAAAAGAATCAAACTTAAATGGAAGAATGCAGAGACTGTAGCTGCGGAGTGAAAATTGTGGAGTACATTTGTAGTGCAATGTGCTTAGCACAGGACATGATGATGATGATAATATATGAATGATAGATCTACAGAATAACAGAGATGGAAGGGACCTTGTAGGTTTTCTAGTCCAACCCCCTGCTCAGGCAGGAAGCCCTATACCATTTCAGATAAATGGTTGTCCAATCCCTCCTTAAAAACCTCCAGGTTTGGAGCACCTACAACTTCTGGAGGCAAATTGTTCTACCGATTAATTGTTCCGTCAGTACATTTCTCCTTAGTTGTAGGTTGGTTCTCTTCTTGATTATTTTCCATCCATTGCTTCTTGGCCTGCCTTCAGGTGCTTTGGAGAAAATAGGTTGACCCCATCTGTCTGGCTTAAAGCTGCCATTCAATATAGATTAATTGAGATGCAGGCTTAGTGGCATGTTAAATATAAACACATTTTAACTAATGCTGTAGATGTCTTATTTGAACAAGATTAATGCTGGGCAGAGGCTTTCAGCTGGACATTAAGAAACAATGGTGGTTTAGGTAAGGATCTGATCCCAGGATTCAGCCTACTCATGGGAAAGAGAATACACTGATCACTCTGGTAGAGGAGCCACATCTGGATGTCAGTAGAGAGAATGCATGTTTTGTGTATTTGCTAGCCCTCAATAACATCAGTCATGGTATCCTCTCAGTCAGTTCGACACTGTCTGAGGGGGGGGTTCTGCTTTCTGAGTGAGGGACTCCACATGATGATCATGGGGATGCAATAAGATGTGGTCTGATCTTATGCAATGAGATGTGGTCTTGATTCTCTCCCCATGGTTTTCTCCCCCATTGGCTTGAGATGAGGAGTTATCCAGAAGCAGATAACAATGGACTGCCACCTCAGGCTGAGATGAAAATGTCCTGGAGGTGAGTCTGTAAAGGTCTGGATTGGACAACATCCAGGATGAAATTAGTGTAAGTCAATAAATATTGGTCAATAATATAAACCCCCTCCCACTTCTTGACAAGTTTGTGTTTCTCTTGAAAAATCTTGTTTCATGACTCGGAAGGTCTTCTTGAAGTCTCCATTCCTGATGAAATAGCAGGCAGAAACTGTGAGCAGGAGGTATTTTTGGATCAAGGGCCAGTTACTATTCTACCGTGACCAGAATGCCTTGAAGTTGAAAACAAATAAAATAAATAAAACATTTGATGACTGCTAGATTAGACTACTGTGACGCATTCTATATGGGACTCCCTTGGAGACAACTTAAGAACTTGTAAGTCATCAAAATGCTGCAGCAAGCTCAATGTTATGTTTTGAATTAATGATTTCTGTATATGGATTATGGTGGCTTATTAAAATTGTTAAATATTCAACTCCCTCTGATGAATTATCAATATTTTAAACTTTCTAACAGTTGTTACTTTTCAGCACATTATTCTGAAAAATGGCTTGATTTCCAAAAATGATTTGAGTATTTAAATAGTTTCTGCATCCTTTAACATTAGATTTTTCATTGAAATGTTCAGCTGCACCATTCTAGACATAATAGAAATTTCCTAGGTTCAATTTATTCATTTATTGTAGACTGTGAAATGATCCAGATTTTAAGTGGCAACAAATTCTCTTAAGTATTCCATGCTGTAGTGAATGGTTTATAATTAAAAGTGTGATCCTTTTGTATGTTTGCACAGAACTGTATCATTGTATTTAAATTAATCAGAATAGAGAAGGGACCTTAGTGGTCTTCTAATCCAACCCTGTTCAAGCAGGAGAACCAAACAAATAGCTGTCCAGTTTAAAAAAAAATTAGTGGAAAGCACCCACAACTTCTGAAGGCAAGCTGTTCCACTAGTTAATTGTTGTAGGAAGTTTCTCCTTAATTACAGGCTGCTTCTGCCCTTAATTAGTTTCCTGTCTTGCCTTCTGGTGCTTTGGAAAATAAGTTGACTCTTTATTCTTTGTGGCAGCCCCTCAAATATTGGAATACTGCTATCATGTCATCCCTAATCCTTTTCTCTAGACTAGTCAAGACCAATTCCTGCAACCATCCTTCATATATTTTAATTGCAGGCCTTTAATTATCTTAGTTGCTCTTCTCTGCACTTTTTTTTTTCAAAGTCTTAACATCTTTTTTGTAATGTGGTGACCAAAAACTGAGTGAGGTATTCCAGTTCTGGTCTTACTAAGGGTTTATAAAGCAGAACATTTATTTATTTATTTATATATCCGTCTTGTCCCCTTATGCTTTTAGAAGTGTGGTCTATATTACTAATTGTCAAGGGGATGAAAGAATTAGATTCTGAGATTCTGATTGGTTATGAGTAAACAATATTCACATTCAGTTAAATGTCACAATTTGCACAATGGATTTTTTCAAGTAGGAATCTACAGGTACTAAGGATATATAATGTTGCAAACATTTTTTTTAAATTGGCCACCTATTCTAAAACTAATGTTGGAAGAAAGGAAAGGTAGCATCAACTACAGAGAAGAAGAAGCAAAATTTAATTCACATGCATAGCAACACTTGTCAAGTAATTTTTCTTCTTTTTGAACACTTTCATCAAAGTTTTAAGAACCCACTCAATGGATGGACTGCAAATTGCAACAAAAAAGCTGTGATTCTTTAAAAAATGCAATCATTTTGTATCTGTTCTTCTTTATTTTGGTGTATCTGTATGTAATACAATGCTTTAGGAAGTGAACTGAGGGCAGTAAAAGCTGCTAATTATGTCAGGTAAACCCAGCAGATGGTCTTTGAATGAATGAAAAGAGGCAGTGAGTTCCATATGAATCATTTACTGAATAAATACATGCAATAGCAAAATTAGATCAGCGAAAAAATGCAATCTGTAGTCAAACTACTCTCTTCTTTTCCCCAGTTGCTGCATCATAATAGAGAGTTTGAAACAGGAAAGAATGTTAAATCCCTAAGTCAAATAACAGCTTCATTGGTGATTAGATTACAGCAGCTCTAAATACAAAATGCAGCAAAAAACTGCACCAGTTTCAATAGCACATAAAGATGGGTAAATACAGAGAACAAAGCTTGGCTTTCATTACATGAAATATTTAAGCTTTCTTTTAAGGCACAGAATAGAAAAAAAACAGAAATCTAATCTGATGGTACTCAGATATAGAATTGCTAATTGGAATCTCATCAATCCTCATCATTCTTCAGTGAACCATTAAATTGTGAACAGCATATTTATTCATGCACTCGGTTTCTATGTCTCAAAGGCAAAAAAAAATGTTTTAATCATCATTCAGATTTTGGTCCAAAATTTCTCCATCTCTTTACTGCAGAACTATTTTCAATATATTTCGCATTGCATCAATTCAATTTCTTTTGCATTTCATGCAAAATACAAAAGATGTGGCCTTATTAGAAAGAACAGAGAAGATGAATAAGGAAGAAAACATTGCTTTGTGTATCTTAACATCAAACTAAAAGGCTTATTTCAACTTATTAGTGGGCCTTTGTTTTTCCTCATTTTTTCATTCCTTTTGCTAATTTTAGTTTTAATTGCAAAAAAGAAGCCCAAAGTGCTAGATCATTCTGCATATATTTATTGATATTATGAGCCTCCTCTTCTCACCAGGCTACCCCTTGTTAGTAGAATTAAAATATAACTTTATAAATTACCACTTAAGCAAAGCCACCATACAGTACTCTTACTCACTGATGTCACTTTAAGCCACAACAGAATACAAAGGTTAGAAGAAATATTGATTTTCTTCAGTAAAATTTCAAATTATGGGTTTATTTATTTATATGTTTTCCCCTCATAACTATACTTAATGGCTGAATCATCCTCTTGCATATCATCCCTTTTTTAGATTTCCCTGAAACTTGCCATGCAGTAAATGCATTTCTGTCATTTAAAAGGAAGTGAGGATTGCTAACCTAAGCTATGTTGTGATAAGAGTTACTCATGCTATTCTGTATGAAGCCAATGTCTGAATGATATTATAAAGTCGACCTTAATGAGGCACATTCATAATAAAACATAGGAGAAGCATACATGCCCGTGTGCAGGTACATCACACTGAAATATAGACAACTGATTCTCAAAACATGATATAGACAATCTGCTACATATATTACAGGCACTTTGGTATCCTTAATAGTCTAGTTATTTATAGGGCACAATGGGAAGATCTCTTCAAGCTTCAGTGAAGACTGCTCCTCTTGGAGAATTTCTTCAAAATTGTCTAAGCCAGAGTTAAGATTTTGTAAGTTTTATTATAAAGCTAATATCCTTAAAGTTTATTCACCCATAGAAATCATTTGGCCAGAGAACTTTCTAAGACTTTCAAAAGTCTGATAACATTTTATTATTTTATACTATTGTATTACTCTTAGAAAGGCATTGCATATATATTCAAGATGATGTGTAGCTACTAATTTCTATGGAACTATGCCATTTCTTGGATTAAAATACAAAAAAATGTGTCATTGTTAAAACCATCTGAGAAAGCTTTCAAAAATATTTGAATAAATATAATTAATGCTCCCCCTTCCCGGGTTCTATTCTGAAAGCAACAGTGAATAAAATGTTCACACTCAAATAACCAAGCCCATTTTCGCAAACTGTTCTTGCATTTCCTGGGCGTGACAAAATCAAATGGAAAAAAAAAAAAGCTATACTGATTAGAAGATACATTTGATTTTAAATGATTCACTGGAAGTATTTTTTTTTCCTGCATTATTGTTATACAGAAGCACTGTGGATCAGCTTCAATGCTGTTTTTTGCACACTCTGTCCTCCCATTCTGTACTGTCATATTCCTTACTGATAATGTGTGAATGAATCAACTTTGGAACTGGTACTTTCATAAAGAATGCAGTGCTATTGTGGTTACTACATGCATTGATCCAGAAATAAAAATAAAAAACTCGCTCAAGGCACCAATACTGACAGTACTGAAACAACTGTGAAAGAATCAAGCAGAAATTCAGAAGTCTCTACAGTTTGAGCTCATTATTTGCTGGTATTCCACATACAATTGTAAACATGCTTTAAAACTCAGTTATAAACTGTTTCCTATCGGTAGCAATCAATGTGACATCGCAATTTGTATCAGGGTGGCTGCCAAATCCTAATTTGTTATATAGCTTGAGCATTCTGTTGCATAGGCATTTTCCCTGCATTATGGATAGGACAAATAAACTTTTAATAAGAAGCAGTGAATGGAAAAAAACACAGTACTGTACTACATAAATCTTCATTTTCACATATATAATATATGCATTTGTGAATTATATGCATTATCTGAACAAAAGAATACATTTTTCAATATAAATATTAAAGGTTAATATTTTGTATTTCCCTTTTTTGCAAATCTTTAATCATACATCATTACATCAATAGTTTTCATTTTTTTTAAAAATAAGAAACTCTTAAATCCACAATATTAGTAAGATTAAGTCCATTTTTCTAGCTATGCTATTCTCAAATTTGTTTTAAGATTTTTATATCATCCTTTTTTCAAAGAAAATAGTTTTCTTTGACATTTTTTTCTGCATTCAAACCTCTTGAGGATAATGCAGTTGAAAAAATAGTATCTATTTACATGGCAGATATCTTGATGAGACAAAAATAAGGTAAAAAAAATGAAATATAGCCCATTTTTCTTAAGGACAGAAATGCCATAACAGGACCTAATGAAACAAATGTTTATTCTATAAACCCTATTGCACATTAAAATTGCTGTAACAAATGGGTAAAAAAAAACTGTTTATAAGTAAGCTGATTTAAGCCTACAGCAAAATCTCAAGATATTATAAAACGGTTGGGGTGATGGGCCAAGTAACTAAGAGTTATAAAAAGTAATATTGGTACAATGCTAATAAAAAACATAAAGATTGGCAAAAATATGCTAACAGGAGCTTTTGGAATCCAAAGCTGCCTAAGGTGCAACGTTAATTCTTGTCCCATCTTCTGTCAAGTCATACCTACGAAACAAACAGAAGAAAAAAGAAACAATGAACTCTTCCCCAAATTCTCAATGAGGTAAAATTGAAAAGGCATCCTATGGCTGTACTTACCACTGAGTACAATTTTTGGAAAGTGCTTCTGAAGCCAGTGGTATCAGTACCTGTGGGAACAAAAACTAAATTATGACACAAGATTCTACATGCTTTGCTTCTGTGGAAAGCCATCCTAGATTCTGGCTTTGACTCCTAACCTCCTGTATGCACAAAGTCATTGCTTACAAATGTGAAATCTGAACCGTGATTCCATTACAAAGTTAACCTATTCAACAGATGGCTCTATTTTATGGATATGTTTCACAGCTTGCCCTCCAAATCCATGGATCTTAAATCCTTATAAGAGATACATCGCACAAGGTAAAGGTAACATCTGTTGTTTTTTTTCCAATTCAAATCTTTACACATCAGCTCAATGAGATTTTGCTACAGAATGCACAGGATTGGGGGGGGGGGGGAGATAAGTAATTCTGTTTCAGAATCAGCTATATGTAAGGTTTATGGGATTATGCCCATAATCCATCCCCACCCTCTTGGCTTTCTGTAAAGGCCTCAGAACATGACTCTGCCAATTGGCATAGGGCCCCAATGGGGGTTGTGATGGCTAATAGACTACAAAAGAAGATCCCACCTCCATATTGCTCATGCACTTGGTTCCCAGTTTTATCTAATTCCTGTTAATTTTAATATTTTTAATGTGTCAGGTTTCCGAAAGATGCCCTAATTAATTCATGAGCCTTGAGCCAAGTTTCAAAAGAAATCCAGTCATTTATTAGGAACACCATTTCAGCAATACCCCATTGCAGTCAGATCTGACCTCATTTAAATTATGACTGAATTTGCCCGTTTCTCCCCTCCCCTCGATCTGTGTCATAAATCACATACTCCAATGAGGTGCACATCTCACAAGCCTGCTGTAGTAATCTGAGCACCGACTCTAGCCGAAGGTATGCACCATGGCAACTTGATAACAGACATGCAAATGTTTTATGAGTTGACATTATGTTTGCATGCTCTTCCTTTTACTGTCTTGTTAGCTGCCCAGAGTCATCTGGATAGTGAGACGTGTGGCATATAAATTAAATAAATAAATAAATTGTAAAAAAAAAAAAAGAACTAGTTGATATTCTACAATTCTTCAATTCACATTTATTTGCCACATTATCCAAGCACTGCTTTTTTTTACATCTGTGATACTCACCTTACCAAGCAGACCTTTATCTTTAGACAAGAACCCTCCACTGTTCTTCACTGCAACATCTAAAGTTCTTCTCTGTAGATCAGACAACGGAACGCTGAAATCAAAACTGAGAAGGGAAAAATGTTTCAGACAGAATATAATCAAAGTACTTTGAAATCAGGAGATCAGTGGCTTCAGAATATTTGGCTAAGGAGCCCTGAAAATCAGTGAGATTTTTGAGGTTGCAACTGTTCAACTCATATCTATTACATAAGGAACATTTCCCTCTGCAAAATTATTTGCCTTCCACTTTTTAATGCTCATTTTAATATCTATATTACCCCAAGGCCTAGCTTCAAATTCTTCTTTGCTAAATTAAATTTTTTATAGCAATTAACACCCAATTGACTAGGCTTTGACAACTTATTTTTTATAGAAAAATATTGTGATCGTACTAATAAGACTCATTTTTAAATAATTTTATTTATAGATATGGTAACAAAATAAACCAAGAGGTGCTAATCTGCATTTATCTTTATCTCCCTGCATTGCACTTCTAGTAACAGTGAATTATTAACCACTTCCTAGATGCCTTCTTAAAAATCAATAGAAGTAACATTTCAGTGCAAGGAAAGAAATTTTAACAATTTCACAACTTTATGCAGTAAAATTAGGAATCAGATTGCAACATACGCCTGATCAAACACTGGATTTAAATTCTTCTTTGAAACACTTGTTTTTCTTCTTCCTGATCTCCTCTTGTCAGGCAATAAATATATTCGAACATAAGGGTCGGAACCTTCTTCTGAAAAGGCGATTAGATTTCTACAATGAAATAATACAAAATATCCAGATCAGAAATAGTTAATAAAGCAGCACATCTGCAAATTTTGACAATGCTTGGTCAGTACCCCTTTCTCCAGGATTCGCTGATCTCTTTTTTCCATCTGCCTAGATACAAGCCCTTAGCCTGGATTCCCAAGAGAATCCAGGTTAGTCAAAGTCACAGTTAAATGGGGAGATTTGACTGGAGGAATAAAACTCAGCATTTTTGACGAGATGGGAGAGAAGAAAGCAGAGCCTTCCCAGTTCTCCAGCACAGCTACCGTACCTTACAGATAAACTGATAAATGCAAGAAATATATAATACGATCACCTGCATGTATGCACAACCACCATAAGTTTGTTTCTCTGTGAACTGTGACGAATTGTTAACTGAATCTGGCCCAATGGTGACTGTCCCAACGTTGCTCCACTACAAAAATCAAGATAATACAAACTATCAGCATTGAGCTTCCACAATGACACAAAAACAATTCTTTCTTTTGTGATTTTGGGGATATATTATATCCCAAAGGCAACAAAAAATATGAAATAAATACTTCAATAAGAACCCTAAACTACTATTCTAACCCACCTGCATACATAAGACAATCCTAATGAGGTTCTGTACGTACAATTTACAATACATTCTGGTTTTCCAGACACAATTAAAATATAGCATTACTAATATTAAGTAATTGTTGATTTGTGAAGACATGTTTTGGTTTTGAGAAGTAACAATATAAAACAAGAGCTGCTTATTGTGCAGAAAATTGGGGAGGGGGGGAATACTGGCAATAAATAAATAGTGGGGTGCTGAGGCTGGTGCTTTTTAAAATTGTAAATAAATATCTGAGTCAAGGTGGAGACGTCATGAAAATGTCAACTCGATGCCCAGATACTGTAAACAAAATGCAAATTATCATGCTTAGAATCATTAGGAAAAGAACTTAAAGTAAAAATGCCAATGTAAGAATAGATACAATATGAAAAAGAATTTGGGACTGTACTTTTCAAGTTGCCTCAGACGTTGCCTTAGCTCCTGCGTGGCGATGGGAAGAGAGATGTCTGAAGCTATACTTGGAGTAGGCTCTTTGACTGAAAGGTGGCTGGGAGAACCACTCAAATTGGAGGTCAGAAGACTGGAGGAACTTCTGCTGAGATCTGCTGGCCATTGAGGGTGAGGGTTGGAGGGGAGGCCTGCTTCCATCCCGTCAGTCCTTTTATTGGCATCTACAGGTGTAGAACTTAGGGCTTTGCTCACATCAGCTGCTGGAGAGGGGGGCACCTGAGGCTTGAAAGTACCCTTCCTCCCATCTTTGGAAACAGAAGGCCTCTTCACTTTGGACGTATATTGGTAATCTGGAGCTCTCTCTTGGTTTTCAAGAGAAAGGATCTAATAGTCACAAAACAAACAAGAAGATCACTTTCATTCCTTCTTACAGTTTAGGGAAAAAAATTGCCTATATCAATGAATGGAGTTTCAAAGGTTGCAAAACCCAGCATTGGGGAAGGAGCTTTAGTACAATGAACAGATTACAAAGAGAACTAAAGCAAACCTAGAAGAGTTATCTTTGAGACTATTTTTTCCTCTCTCCAATTGCTCTATATAAAAACATGCCTGGAAAATCTCATGTAGTATGTAATTTACCGGAGAGTTATGCCTAACTAGAATGTTTGCCCTTAATCTCCACCATGATGAGAAAAAGAAAAGTTTGCCTGAATGAAACTTAATTGATAGGAAATACAAATAGCCCTCAACTTATTTCCAGCACAGAGTCTATTATGACAGACCCCTAAATCGTACGTTCCTACGGCAAAAGTTCCAATAGCCACTTCCCCTGATCATGTGTCCACATTTCGGACAATTGGCAATCGACCTGCATTTGCAGCATCCCATGGTAATGTGACCACAATTTATATTTTTGCTGAAAATTAGTGTTTTTTTCCCATGGTTTTCATCATCAACATGCCATAGCAAACAATGGGTTTGCTTAACACCCACCATAAAAAAGGTAATAAAATCTGACTGATCACATGACGACCTGCTTTTAAACTTTCATGAGTTATGACTACAAAGGGCAGATCCTGTTATATTCCTAAATCAAAGATTGTCTGTATTCTCCTCTTACGTTTTACAAAAAGGAAAGCTTTCAATGGGACATCTATACATCTCACTTGGTGGAAGTTTCCATTTTGTGGCTGTGGAGAATTAAAAATACACACTAGTCCAGCCTCTTCCATTTGTTAAGCACTGGCAACCTTGATATTCCTCTCAATAAGAGTTAAAAGATTTTTGCTATCAAGTTTTTTTCAGAATCTTTTATCTCCCCTGGATTTAATCCCTGAAAAGAATGTGTAAAAAGCTTGCATTGTATAGAATGCCTAGTGAATCTATAGAAAGCATGGCATTTTTAGGCCATAAGTATGAAATGCCTTCATTATTTTAATATGCTATATAATCTCCCTAGGCATTATGCAGCATAGTAAGAAAGACATGTAAAGGGTTAGGTAAAGGGTTAGGACATATACGGAAATGAAAGAAGAAATGTAAAATAAAGTACAGGACTTTCTTACTGAAAAAGAGAGAGAAAAAGACAAAGCGCTGACCTACAAGAAAGGCTAGGATGACATTTTCAACGAATTATTTTATACTTTACTTTATACTTTTGGCATTGCATAGAATGCCTGGGAAGCACGAAATATTAAGCATTTCGTACTTTGACATCCCATTTTTGGCATTGTATAGATTTCCTAGGCATTCTATAAAACGCCTAATTTCACACATTGAGGGGAAGATAAACAAAAGGAGCATCTAAAATATTGAGACTGCAAGATGCTACACGGAGCATAACGTCAGATATGAGAATAGCATGATATGGGGTATTATTTGTTGTCATACACATGCAGTACACATATACTGTGTAACAAATCTGGCATTTCCAGATGTTTTGGATACAATTCCCTAGAATCCCTTATGATTGGGTATAATGGCTGGTATTTATAGAAGGGCAATCCAAAATATCTGAGAGACACCAGATTGCCCTTTCCTGGTGCATATGATGTAATATATGAAAGGAACCCTGGTGGTGAATGATTGAAGTGTAGTACTGCAGGCAAACTCTACCCACAGCTAGGATTTCGATCCTAATGGGACTCAAACTTGACTCACCCTTCCATCTTTCTGAGGTCAGTAAAATGAGAACTCAGATTGTAAGGGGCAATATACAAACAATGCTCCCAGTGTAAACCACCCAAAGAGTGCTCTAAAACACTATGGGACAATATATACGCTTAAATGCTATTGCTATGCTGTTGCTATTGGTTCTATCTCATCAGAAAATATCCTTATTTACAGTCTGTTATAAAGATTATAATTAATTATGATGCTCTGTGTGTCGTTTTTAACTCTTAATCTTGTTATATTATAGGACAAAGTAAAAGCAATAGGAAGGCAATGCAAAATGGAGAACTAGAAAGGCTAAATATGAAAGCCAATACAGAAGACTGTATAATTGCTTTACATTATTACGTATGTTTTGTGTTTTGTTTTTTCTTGTTGGGTTTTTCTTTCTGTTTTTAAAGATTAAAATGTTCAATAAAAACTATTTTAAAAAAAAGACATGCACACACTTAGAAGTATGGCACATTTGAAAAAAAAAACCCTCTTAATCTTGCCATTTTAAAGGGATCTATATCTTGACGTAAGGATCATTATAGTTATTTTTATTCATTCCAAATGGAGATCTTCCTATAGATTAAGCAGGTATAAGAAAGGGAATTGTTTCACATTAAAGTTAGAGCTCTGGGCATTTCTTCTTAACTTGATGGGAGAAAACTATCCAAAAATTAGGCAGGTCGTCTTAATCACTTTTGCTTTTCGACAACAAAAGGGAAGCATGGCAGTAACTGAACTCGTGCATTCAAAACATTATGCTCCTTCACTGAAATACAGACTCACTTTATGGAATATATTGACAGCCTGCAGCTTTGGTGTCAATAATTTTTAATGTGTCCATCAAGTAACCAAGTTTACAACTTCTCATTCCCAAGCAACCACACCTTTTAAAATCTTTTCCTGACTTTCTTTCTTAAAACATAATTTGCATATCACTACCATTACCGCAATTATTACATGCTTAATTTTTAAATAAATTTAGGGAACTGTTGTAATATACCCTGAGTGCAATCTTCATGTATACAGTGCTGTTTGGACCAGAATTGTTAAGATGAAATCTCTGATGCATAGTTAGATCTTCACTTGCAAGGAGTTGGTTAAGAGGAAGCTTAAAATTTCCCAAGGAGCACTGATGTTGTTCATCCTTGACCTACAGAAGAAGGAAAAAGAATTATTACAGTTAAATGAAAACCTGTATTTAAAAAAGTTAACAAATTACTAAGTCCTTAATTTTATTCAATTAACCTGATTCTTGACCCATTAATAAACTTAATCAGCTTAGAATGAACCCATGCAAAAAACATGATAGGCACGTTGGCTTTTTCTAATAAAGAAAAAGAGAATATAGTATTTAAAAATAATTCAATAACAACATTTAAACAAGACATCTTTGTTTCCTATAATCTGAATTTTGATGTATTGTAATTTTTCTCACTTACACACTTAAATCCAGCATTAGAGAAAGCCAAATTTGATATTACATTTATGCTTTATTCAGTATAAAGTAAGCTTTACACTATATTACATATATATTACCAAAATAATTAAAACATTTTCTAATCACCTGCCTCAAATTTACTAAGCAAACGATTCAGCATAGGCAGAACTACAACTATTTCCAAGATAGGATCCCTTGTCTATTCAGCAAAACATTTGCAAATGTCAAGAGTACAACATTTTTTGCTGTAATTCTCCCAATGCTGCAGCCATTCTGGCACTCTGCCCTCAAAAGATACCTCAGATCAGGCAATAACAAGAATGACCTACCTCAACTTCTAGCTCTTGTCGTCGAGGATTATGAACAAAAAAAGTGAAATGCTCTTCCCAAACAGGTTCATTGGTCTTATAGCGGATCTATTCAAATGCAGGATTCTTTATTAACATATATGTCAAAAAACAAAGCCTACTTATACAGATACACAGGCATTCTTCTCCCTTTGCTCCAAGAATTGCATGTGCTTGGGTAATATATTAAGGCAGGGGTCAGCAACCTTAAACACTCAAAGAGCCACAAAGGTCTGAACCAGAAGCCCCCCCGTTCAATTTTGGAACCGACTGGCAGTCCAGTTCCCCTACCATAGAGTCTCCTCCTAACACGGCCTCCTTTTTACTTCTACCTGTCCTAACCAAAAGCCCTATCAATTGTGGAGCTGACCAGCAACAGGGAGCTGCAGCAGTGGGAGGAAAGAGCCACATGTAGCTCCAGAGCCGCAGGTTGCTGACCCCTGTACTAAGGGAACTGGACAACAATGGAAATTACAGAGCTGGATATTCAACATACACATACAACATACTTGAGAGACCGCCTGCTGCCAATTACCTCCCAAAGACCCATTAGATCACACAGGGTTGGCCTCCTCCGGGTTCCGTCTACCAGCCAATGCCACCTGGCTACTACCCGGGGGAGGGCCTTCTCTGTGGCAGCTCCGGCCCTTTGGAACGAACTCCCCGCAGGGATTCGGACCCTCACCTCTCTCCAGGCCTTCCGAAAAGCCGTCAAAACCTGGCTTTGCCGGCAGGCCTGGGGTTGATGAGTTCCCTCCCCTCTCGACTTGTATGGTTGTGTGATTCTTGGCTATTTTAATTACTTGTATTCTGTCCTATGTTCCCCTTTTCCCCTTTTGAGTTGTTCGCCGCCCTGAGTCCCTCCCGGAGAAGGGCGGCATACAAATAATAAAATTCAATTCAATTCAATTCACATGCAAATAAATACATAAAAACATCAAAGTGGTTTGTGAGTCCGTACTTCACACTGTACAATGGGCTTTGTCCCTCAATACAAATTACAGATATCAGGATTTTTCTTCCCTGATTAGATTTCTGGAATGGGCAACAGGGTAGATTTAACCTTTTATTTCACCTGCACTCCCAATCCAGATCAGAAATATGAGTTAGGGGTAGAGAGTAATGTGAAGGATATTGTCCTCTTAGAGCAGCTTACAAGTACAGTACTTCTTATCCAAAGAAGCTCACAGCAGTATGTCCTTTGAGAAAAATCATGATACCCAATGCTAATTCAGATCCAAGTGCCTGCAAATTGCTTAGGGGATGGGAGTAAGGGATTCTATTAGCTTTGAAAGAAAATGTTACACAGATTGATGTGATCCTGTATATACAAAACCTGGAAAAATTAGGATGGTGTGAACTGTTTTGCTTTACAGAAAAGGACAAATGTTGTTAAGACTTACCTTGCTTTCTTGTGAGTTATGTCCAATTGTCATTAAGACAAGGGGATTTGGATTACTGTTCATTTTCTTCCCTGACTGAAAATGTAAAAAAACAATAATTCTATTACTCTTATCTTCCTTCCATCTATTCTGTGTCACAAACATATATGAGATAAAGGAACCGCATAACTTACCTTGAAAGATTTGCACATAGAAATTACTGAGGTTTCCAACCCCCTTACAAGTATTGTGTTTTTGAATGAATTGGTTTAAGGTGCTCAACTTTTCATCCTTAAATAAGCATTTCATTCCCTCCCCTCCCCAAATTAATGAAGCAACATCACAACAAATGAATGAATGTTGCGGTCAGGAAGCAAAAGGAGCATATGGAGAAAATGCAAGCTTAGAAAGCTAATCTTACATATATGGAATGATTAAGCAGAATGTCAGAATCATAAAACATTTGGAGGGTAACAAAAGAAATGATATGCTATGGCTTCTATTGTAAGTTTACCCAGTTTTCTTACTAAAACTACAAAAGTAATTTTAAAGAACTCAGATTATGAATGTCTGTTAATAGGCTCCCTAGCAATGTCTCAGTTAAATACTTTTTGTTAAAAAGGAATTACAAAAGTTAATCTGAAGCATCTACCAATGCTGTTAATACAGTAATTAAATTATTAATAATTAATTTATAAACTGGAACTCCAAAAAGTAACATGATTAAAAAGGAAGTTAAAACAATGTTAAGACAAAAATAGCAGACTAAAGACATGGGTATTCTTATCTCAACACATATTGTTTTGAATTTTTAAAGGGGGAGACGTATTTAGTTTGATTTACCTAGCAATACGCTTTTAATTATTTCTCGCTGTGAAAAATTTTAAATTGGCACAAAATTCATTCAGATTTTCTCCCAGATTAGTTCCATTTCTGAAAATTATCTTCAAGGGCAAAATATGAGCCATAGGGATCTTCATCAATATCATCCTCCCTTATATGACATATTTTTGGATATGTATACAAGAGGGTCTCAATCATGTCTTCATTTGATAAAATGTATTGTTTATTGAATGTTTAGCCTGTTTGGATATTGACTGTTCAGATAGATACTTATTCTTCTTATTTATGTTTTTCTTAACTTTATCAATTTCTGGTTTTCAAAATGCTTACGTAAAATTTAGACAATTTATTTACTACTGAATGGCAAAACTGATGGGACAGGCAAAACACCTCTCAGAAAATAATACACTATCCCTTTAATATAACCAGAAGTTGTTTCTAACAATAATAGAAGTAAGATTCAAGTCTTACTTCTTGCCTCAGGAAACAGGGAGGCACATTTCTTTTTTATATGTGCTACCAATTAAGTTTCTACAGGTAAGGAGAAACAGATATGTAGTGTCCATATATTTGCTTACAGCTAGCCTTTCAGTTTAACCAGCAATTCTGAGCTGTGTATCTCTGCACAATTTATAAACAAGCTATTCTGCACTGTCAGCATCTTCAAAAAAGCACTGCCCCTACTTTCCACATTAGTGGCAGGACTAAATTTAGTTTTCCACTGGCAATTTGTCTTATTAATTCCATGTTTGTATCTATAAGTAGTGATCCTGAAGCAAAAGGGATGGAATTAATAAGCCTACATGGGGTTTGTGCTTCATGATGACTTAGTGGCCCTTACATTAGCTTTATTATGAATATTTTGATTGCCAATATGCAGTTACATTCCAAGTTCAGTAAATGTATAAAAAAGGGATCAAGAAATTTAGAAATTCTCTGGATTAAAAAAAAGCATCAACAGGTTTAATAAAATCATGCTTTTGAAAATATATTGGATATTCAGTACCATTTTAGAAAAATTAAATAATTTGTTTAATAGTAATAATACAGCTGACTCTCTAATGCAAACTTTTTAAAAATAATTGATTAAAATTAAAGATTATTTGTTTCTATAATTTATGTAATGCAACCACTGATGGAATGTGCCTTCCACTCACAGACAAATTAATGTTATCGCGTCCTGATCAAACTTTGTGACACTAAGCTTAGATCTCCTGGAATTCAAAATATTTGAAGATATTTTCCATTATTTTAAGACTGCCTTTTTAATTTTTATAAATAACTCAAGGTGACAAACGTATCTAATATTTTCCACCTCCTATTGTCCCCATAACAACAACCCTGTGAGATGGGTTGAGCTGTGAGTGAGTGATTGGCCCAAAGACGGCTCTCATGCCTAACTCATAGGCACTTGTGTAGTATTGTATCTTCACCAATAGACCAAACTGGCAGCCAGAATCTTCATTTAATTGTGTGGTTTTAAATGGAAAATTGTATCACTTTTACCTTTAAGACTTTCTGAACAGCAGACTTCTTCAAGGCTTCTGGATTATAATCTAAAGGATTATGCTTTTAAACCAGAAGAAAATGAACAGACGGAGGGTTAATATGACATGCAACAAAGCAGTTCCAATTGGTTAATTAAGGACAGGACAACAACGGCAGACCAAACAAACATTCTCAGAAGAAAGAGAAAAATGCTTAAACACTAATTACTATAAAATAACTTGATATACCCTTTTTTTTTCTTATTATTCTGTTTTTAATTACAATATTTCACTGACTTTTTCCAGACAGGCTAAGATTCTCCTAATGGCAGTAGCTCCCCCACCCCATCAATAATAGTCCATTGCATTGGATTTGATAATATGGATACAAAAATGGAATAGAGGTCTAACCAGCTGATAATTTTCATTAACAATTGCTAATTTTATTTCAGAAAAATGGCACCGTCCTGAGGGTAAAGCAGGCAAATTATAATGAATTAAAACAACACCACTTAAAAAGAGAGAGAGGGGTGGGTGGGAGAGGGATTCTAGAATTTCATTTTGTCTCAACATTTCTGAGATGGAATAAATACATAGTTAAATCCAGCTTTAAGCTAAATTGCTAGGCAAAGCATGCTAGCTAATTCAAAACAGGAAAGGGAATTCTCTGTCCTCCAGAATAACTGTTTAAAGTTTGTCTGCTGTGAATCTTGTTTTCAATGGGAAAAAATGTTATAAAAACTTCTACATGTGTCTCAATATTATACATCATGCCACAGAAACATTACACCAAAAATTGACAGAAAGTTTATGTCTGATAAACTGAAGAGTTGTTGAGCACTAACTTAAGTTTTTTTAAAACTAAGAATGACTTTGCTTCTAGATTGTTTTACTCCGTTTAATCACCAAAGTTCTCCCTATATATATATTTTTAGATTTAGAGTAGACATTTTTAACAAAATTTCTGCTTGTCTTCTTGTCAGGAAGCCACGCTTCCAAATAAAGCTCCTACCTAGCATTTACCTCAAGAAACCTTATGCGGGCTGTTTATTTGAGAACATTGTTGTTGTAAAGATGAACTAAAGGCTGGCACTTTTGCCTTGGGATGCGCCAGCTCCCCATTTTCTCTAATTAAACAATTCTAAAAAATAATAATAAGATCAGATGGGCAGGAAAAAAATGCAGTACTATAAATTTATGGATACTCATTTTTAAATAAAGGTAGTCCTTGACTTAGCAATCAAAGTTTTGACAGATCAACTAGGGGTACTGAGTACTTATGATCCAGATTCACACTTCCAATGATCAGCCTCCTCTACAGTCGCATGACGGCATTTTGGGCATTCAGGCACAGTGATGCATTTATAGCCACCTGCAGGGTCCTGCAAACATTTCACTGCATTTTAAACCGATTTTGCTGAAAACCGCCATTTACTTACTTTCTTTTTCTTTTTTTTTGCAAAACTTCTTAATGAATAATTGATTTGCTTAATCACTGTAGTATTTGTTTAACTGCCACCACAAATAAAATGTATAAAGTCACATGAGTGATCTATTTTATGACTGTCACAACCATGGTTAGGTAGGTTTCATTACAGCCGTAACTCAAGGACTCCTTGTATTATTCTCTAAATTTATCCTTAGGTTTATTTTAAAAAGTAAATCAGGTATGCTCATTTTATCCTCTGTTTGACTGGCTACTTAAGTATTGTAACAACTTGATGCAGCACAATGTACTTTACAAATAGTTCCCTTTCTCTATGTTTCCAAAAGCTTTGGGCTAGTAGTAGTTTTATGCCGAATGTCTATTTGCCTAGACTGGAAAAAGTCTTCTCTTTCTTTTTTCCCCATGTAGTTTATTAGCATTTAATTTTCAGCTCCTAATTGTTCTTGCTATACACATATAACAGACATATTCAAGACTGCCATGAAATTTTGCCTCACGCTGTATTTTTTTTTAAAAATTCTCCTTGATTTAGGATGAACACCATAGCTGCTTTTGATGAAGAGGAGCCAATGTATCAGAGTAAAAATAGCAGATGACAGAGATGCTTGCGGCTTGCATGCCACTGTCATGCAAATGCCATAATGCTTATTAAGGAATCTTTAAGCTATAAAAAGAGAAGGAACTATTCCAGTTCCATAAAGAAAGAAAAAAAGACAAGGTGAAGTTTAATTTGGGTCAAGTTGCTGTTAAAAGTTTCTTTTTCTGACCAACCTTCACTTCTGTAACACATCGTTTCAACTGCCTTAATAGAGTTGGAAGTTTTAACAATGCACTGGAACCAGAGGACTGATAGCAAAGTAAGAATATATGATAATTTAATTGTAACATACTGTTTTGGTGTTACATTTGAAACTTTCCAACTTGAATCAAACACGCAACCAGGCCTGTTTTTACACTGATTTCAGAAACTCAAAAGACAATCAAGATTCTCAAAGTAAACCCAATAATGAGATGCCACAAAATAGGAACGTAGGTGGCTTGCAAGCTTAAAATGATTATGCAATGTGAATTCACAACCCCTATTTTATTTTATGTTTAGAACTGTTTCAAATTTCTACTTGACTGTGCAATTTAATGGCTGTCTTTGTACTAGCTGTTATCTCTCAGCAAAATCTACTTTAATATGCTCAAATGGAAACGGCTAACTTATGGGTCCATATTTTAAAGACTGCACAAAGAAGTGTATTTTTTCTGTAACACATATTATTCCAATTTTAATTATGCAACTTGAACCAAATTAAAGACCTTCTGGGCCCTTACATATGCCACATACAATACTTGCATTTACTTTCCAAAACAATTACAAAGTATGTTGATTTTTACAATTCATGACCATTTCATTTCTCTGCAAGCGTCACATTTTTTCAAGTAGGTAATTGAGCATGCTAGTCTCTGAAAAAATTAGAAAATTTAGCTGGAAGCTAAACTAATCACACCACTGAAAATGTAGCCAAAACAATATAAACTTCTAAAACCATGCACTTAAAAAACAAAGTACTGCATGCTCCTCCATTCCAATGTTAGGGCAAAGTGGGTTTATGAACACCAAGGTTTAAAAAAAAGTTATTATTTTTTTAAACAACAGAACACGTAAACCTGAAAACTCACAAATAGTGCTCTATAGACTGAGGTAGTATTTTCACAAAAGACTAGTCCAGATGCTCTCCTCTCTTTTAAGTATCCACACTCAAATTTTCCCTCGTAGATACTCTTTAGAAAAATGCAAAGGGAAGGAGAAAGCAGAAAGTCATAGGATTCTGGCAGCCTAAGGGGCTCAAGCAGCTTTATCATTAGCATAGATACAGAAGTACTAAAAATCATACAAAGAAAGGATAAACCAATAGCACATTTTTCCATTATTGATCTAGTTTTATCGACATTTCTAGGCAATTTTTTTTCTTCTACTACTGCAATTGGGTGTATTTTAGCTACAGACACCACTTGCATAACAAAATCGCACTTTTCAATAATAGCTTTTTAGTGAACTCATGCACCATCTTTTTATACCAATACGGTTGCTATCGTTGTAAATGAAAAAAGAGAGAGATTTTCTGAATATATAGAAGTTGTACTCTTAATCTGTATTCATTCTTGACAAAGGGAAAAAAAAGTCATTTCTCTTAAATTTTAATTATATTATACTATCAGATGATTAGGATACAATGAGACCCATTATTACATAGTTTCTTGATTTTTTTTTTGAAAAAGTATTCTATTCAAGAGTTCCAGGACATAAAATGAAAATAAAACTAACACAAACACAATAACAAATCCAAGATTTTGCCTCATGTCCACCACAAGTCTTGACAAAGATATACTAACATTTTTATTGGCATAAGGATTAAAACACATCCTTCCACTTTTCATAACTGGGAGATTAATCCCAGGCAAACAGGAGTTGCCACTTCATTATTTAACATGCCTCTCTTTTTCTGGTTTGGAGGCCACAAGGGACTTAAGACAAGGATATGACTGTCCTGAAGGACTGGGCTTAATTTATGCCAGTCTTGAATAAAATACTCCAATAAATTGAGCCCAAAATTTCCATTGACTTTGTCAAAAAATCTCAAAAAGTGATCACATGACCCCTGCAACTGTCAGAAATACATTCCAGTTATAAAGCATCCATAGGGATGCTGCAATGGTCATATGAAAAATAATATGGTTTCTCCACGTCATTCTTAGTGAAATGTGCAAAGCAGCATCTGTGTCGGATGAGGCAAGCACATCTTTCTCCTTCTGTCCTGGCTACTTTTTACAGAGGCATAACTGAGAGTTTTTTTAACAAACTGCATCACTGTTTAGTTTGGTGGCAGCAGTTCCTCAGATAGAGAGTGGTAAGGACAGCCAAGGAGATTACAGGAAGCTCACTTCCTGTTATTCAGAATGCTGCTTATAAACGCTGAGTGTTTAGAGCTGTAAGCATTGCTAGAGACCCCACACACCCACTTCACGGTCTTTTTCTGTTGCTCCCCTCTGGGAGGAGGTTTCGAAGTATTTCTAGCAGGACTTCCGGATTCTGTAACAGTTTTGTTTCCTAGACCATCCACCCGATAAACTCGCAAGAATCATTTCTCTCGCCATGGACATGTATAAATCCAAACTAGACCAAGTTGTTTCTCTGTGTCATATAATATATGTGGGTATATGCATAATCATGTATGTATGTATGTATGTATGTATGTATGTATGTATGTATGTATGTATGTATTCATTCATTCATTCATTCATTCATTCATTCAGTGAGTCTGTCAGTCAGTCAGTCAGTCATGTAGTGCATATTGGAGGTGGTGACCCTTTGAGAGCTGTATACAATGAAATTTCATTTTAATGTATGCTGATTAGTGTACATTCAAAATGACAATAAAGTTATTCTGTCTGTCTGTCGCCTACCTATCTACCTACTTACCCAATCATGTCACTTTTTTGAGTGCCATTGTAACTTTGTACAGTTACTAAATGGATCACTGTAAGTCAAGAACTACCTGTACATAATTATTCACTGTTGTTGTTTTTATCAAAGAATAGAAAAGCTTTACCAGAATAAGTTTTTAATAATATTACCAATCAACTTCCTATATATACCCTATTATCATTGTTACCAACTTCATCTAGTGTTCAGGAGGAATTCTGTTTTTGAAATGGCAAAATCATAATTAGAAAACTTCATAATGACCATTGATCCTTGTCTAATATTTTATCTTCAAGTCACATTAGTAAACTTCATTAGGAGTTTCCTTCCTAAAAGCTAGATGAAGAAGGCAAATGTGTGCTTCGTTATAAACATCACATCCTTGGGTTTATTTGGGGACCATTCATTATTTTTGATTTAATCCTGGATAAAAGGGAATTAAAAGACATACCATGATTTACAGTTTAAATATATGGAATTTTCCGTGAAGCACTCCAATTATACATATTTGGGTTCTCTCTCTGCACAGAAATGAAAAATCTGTATAACTGGGACAGTGTGTGTGGGCACATTTTGTTTTTACAAAGTGAAAGGTGTTTCCACAGCTATTCTTGGAACTGCTATTTGGAGACAGTAAACAGATCTTTTAATTATAAGCTTGCAAGCCTATGTGGGAAAGCATTCACACCAACCCTGGTCAAACATTTATGTATATGAAAAATAGTCTAGAATAGCAAACGAAAAAAAGTCATGTTCATTAGCAATTCACATCAGAAGCTGGCTTTCAGTTATCTCTTTTGATTTGCCACAATGAAGCAGGATTCTTCCGTGCTCAGATCATCCCAATATATTGTTTGGATTTTAAATATTTTACCCTAAATGAGTTTCCATTCACAGAAAAAAAGAGCACCATTTGAAAGCAAATATACACGCACATGTCCTACAGCACCATAGCTCCAGATTTAGATGCGTACTCATTCATTTGAAGCTGGAATTCACCAATCATCTATTTTTCCTTTCAGAAAGTGTCCACTAAATCGTAAGATTACCACATTAATAAATGCTGCAAATTTATTGTAAATTAAAATGACATTGTTCTATAAACGTGATTAGATTACTGATCCTGCAAAATAAATTCAGCCGTGAGGTATGTTTATCATAAAAAATTATCAATGTAATGGAATGCATGAGGAAAAGTAATTAAAACATAACGTGATTTGTGAGGCAAAGTGGCACAGTAGTAAGCAATGTGTGACTGAAGAAAATTAGGAATCACTCAAGAGAAGCTTCATTGTCACCTAAAACTTACTGGCAGATTTCTTGCTGAATCCAAATAAAGAATAAGCACCGCTGATGAAAGCCCATCGTCGGCTTGATCTTTATCAGCTCTAATGCTTTTTAGCACCTAAAATCATAAAAATATGATTAAAACCTGTAGTTTCGTGCTTTATCGCTAACTAAAAAGAAAGCAAGTTATAACATGCAAACTAGAAAATAAAAGTGTAGCTATACATAATAATTTAAAATTAAGTATTACTATACCTCATCAAAGAACAAGGTAGCCAACATTTATCCTAATGTAAAATAATTTAATTATTTCCAAACATAACCAAACTAGATTTGAATGAAAAAAACCTTTATCTGAAAAGAAATTACGCAACGTGAGAATGTTTTGCCTGCCTTATTCTTGCTGCTATTGCTATTTCTAAAAGTCCATGGAATTATTTTTCAATATTAACTATTCTACATATGAGAAATGATATACATAGATTATGTCTATAAAACATTATGGAAAGAGGAACTTAAGAAACTCAAGTACGCAAGTGTCCTGGAACTGAAAAAAATTCACTGATTCTAGATAACATTCCACAAATGTAATAAATTCCGCAAATTTATGTTTTATGCCATTTACTTTCCCAGTTGAGTGTGTTTCTTAACACTTGCAAGTGTATTCAAGGATTTCAGTATTCACTTTGCTTTTCATATCATATGTATATATACAGTAGAAAAATTTAAAATTAGCTTCTGGGTCCATTGTTCAAAAGTATCCTTCAGTATGTCCAGTAGTAAAATATTTTGCTTCATTCTTTAGGTCTAGTTGGAATGTTCTTCTCCTTTAATTGTAGCATTTAGTTCCTTCTAGCGTCTAATTTTAAATTTTTATCTTTTGAATTTTTTTTAAAAAAATAAAAAATTTAAAAAATGGACAAAAGCACTTTCCCAGAGGAAGGTTTCTTATAATTAATTTCCCAAATTAATTTCTTATAGGTGAGAGAACAGCATATGGATTTAGTAAGTAAAAATAAAATCTTACTTCAAATTTATCTAAATCCTTAGTTCATTTGTAACTTTCTAAAATCAAAGTTTTAATCACTCTTGCTGTTTATCAAAAAAAAGTTCTTAAACTTGAAGTCAAAACTCACCCAGTGCTATAAAACTTGTCGATTCAAAGATTTCTAATAGATGAAAACCAATTAACACACAATTTTCAAAAGTGATTAGAAAAATATGCAAATTTAGTATTCTTTCAAAGCTGCCAAGATGGCTGTTCCCTCATCTCCCACAGCTCCAAATAGACCAAAGACCACCACCTTGCAGTCTCCTCATGAGGAGCAGCTGAGTGGGGTATCTGTGGGCAACCTCAAGTCTTCTCCTTGTCCAGAGAGGAATTATCAAAGAGCCAGTCTACTCCCTGTCTCCTCATTTGCCACAGTCATTGGCTCTGTTTTTTGCAAAGCAGTTTTCACTCTGCCATGTCTTACCCAGAGGTCAAAAAGAAACACTTCCTAATGAAACCCCTTATTTTTGACTTGCTAAAATAACTTTGGATTTTTGTGCCAAAATAAATCTTTGGTTTTTTTTATTCTGTTCTTCTTCTAGAAATAGAGCATATTTAAATGAATGTGGACAACCACACATTTAAAGAAACATTTTTAATGACAGCCTCTTCAAATGCAAAAAAAAAAAAGAATAGACAAATATACCTGGTCAAGATTTTCAACAGTAGGCTTCAATGTGAGCCATTCGAGTTTTAAGTGCAATTTTCCTTTGGAGACTTCATCCAAAGAAAACCACTGTAAGGAAAGTTTATAAAGTACAGTAAGAACCAAAGCCATTTGCTGCAAAAATTTTACCAACATTACATACAAATTCCTGGGCGAAGCCAACTAAGGACATTTCATATGAAAACAGCTAAAGGCATTGTAGCTGACAGAATACAAACATTTTATCAAACAGGCAAGAATTGTACTGTTTCCTGAATTTCACCCAGAAAACTAGAGTAAAATTATTTCATAATAAAATACATACAATGACTTTTTAGAATTAAGCATCTGAATATTTAGCTTAGGACACCTCAAAACACATTTAACAGGAACTTTTACAGAAGTTTGCAGCATCCTGCAATCATATGACCACATTTTATGATTGTTTTGCCAAAAACTGGTCCTTATTTTTGGTGTTTGCCAAAATCATGTCCATAGCAAACCATTGATTTGCTTAACCACAGCATTTGTGGTGCCAGTGGCTAGAATGCAATATTGCAGGTTAATTCAGCTCATTGCCTGGAGTTCGAGTCCCAACACGCTCAAGGTCAGGGGTGTCAAACTCGATTTAATTGAGGGCCGCATCAGGGTTGGGTTTGACCTGGGGGGGCATGACTAGGGTGGGTATGGCCAGCTCAACATCACTCATGTCAGGGGCACCTATGGTGGCGCAGGTAGGGCTGGGGGACTCCATTGTCTCCAGTGGAGGAAGGCAAGACCAGGGAGAGTGCCAAACCCTTGAACTCCAGAGGAGTCTTGCTGTCTATTGTGGCCAAATACTTCCTTCCTTCCTTCCTTCCTTCCTTCCTTCCTTCCTTCCTTCCTTCCTTCCTTCCTTCCTTCCTTCCTTTCCTTCCTTCCTTCCTTCCTTCCTTCCCTCTTCATTCTCCTTTTGTCTTTCTTCTCCTCTTTCCTTCTTTTTCCTATCATGCTCTCTTCCCATCTTTCCTTCTTTTTTTTTTCTTTCCTTTTTCCCTTTCTCTTTTCCTGTCCCTTCTTGATGCTCAAATGCATTTAGTTTGTTTTGCTAGCCCTCTGCCAACGAAAATGGAGCGGGGGGGGGATGCTCCCCCTGGGCCCCATTTTTGGTCTGGACAGCCTCCTGAAGCCCTCTGCCAGCAAAACAGAGCCAGGAAGGGGGGGTAAACACATTTTTGCCAGGAAGCTGTCCGGGCCAAAAATGGGGCTATGGGGAATCCCTGGCCTCCATTTTCGCTGGCAGCGGGCTAGCTAAATGAACGAAAAGCATTTGAGCATCAAGGGCCAGAATTTATCACCCCGTGGGCCTTCAGTTTGACACCCCTGCTCAAGTTTGACTCAGCCTTCCATCCTTCTGAGGTCGGTAAAATGAGGACCCAGATTGTTGGGAGCAATATGCTGACTGTAAATCGCTTAGAGAGGGTTGTAAAGCACTGTGAAGTGGTATATAAGTCTAAATGCTACTGCTATTGCTATTTGTTCAATGATCATGGATTCATTTAACAACAGCAGAGATTTGATTAATGCCCACTGCAAAAAGGTAATAAAATGAAGGTGGTCCACATGACTGACCTTTTTTATGATTGTCATGTTTTATGACCATGATGGACAGGCTCCTTATGACCATAAGATGAGGACTGCTTGTATTCCACTCCCATGGCTTTTGCCTTCAATTTCACTTGTTAACACAAAATGCTATAATCAAACTAAGAAAATCTATTTAAGGAAATCTGAAGCCTTTGCTGAAATTGCAATCCAGATCCAATATAGGCACTGCAGATTTATTTTATCAACCTTCCTTGTCACTGTCTTCCCCAGGCTGAATAGAGATTTACCTCATCTATGTGGCGTTCCTTTTCAACTTCAATTAAGTCTATCGTCAGGCTAAAAAAACACAATGCAATGCATTAGAAGACCATTATCTGAACTACAGAACCTGAAGCTGGAATTTTGTAGCAGCAAAATGGTGAATACACTAGAAAAAAAAACCTGAAAAAGCAATTCTGAACAAAAACAGGACATGTGATTGAGGTATGAAATAAAGCTTATCTTGTTTTAAGAATTGTGAGTAAGATGGTAGGACCTGCTGCCGAAAACTTTAGGTCTTTGAAGCAGAACAAGATGTTGGGAGAGAAGGAGAAGAGAAGCAAGGATAAATGGTTTTGTGGTTGTCTATTCCTTACGTAGTAAAGGCCAAACGTACTGTATATTCAAAATGAAAAAGAAACTGTGTGCATTAATTAGAGCTGTGAATTACTATTTCTACTATAATCATTATTGCTTTGCTTTCTTTTCATATGGTATTTTTAAAAAATGTTTCTACCAAAAGTATTAACTTTTTGAAGGCACAGAATTTTGCATGCACACAAGTAATAATAGAAATACATTGGAAATATATTTGTCTGCTAGCTTCTTTCTGACTCTTTGAGCTTACCTTTACTCTTTCATTTATTGACTGATCTGGATAGTAGGATTCCAGGATAGGATTTCAATTTTTTTTTTAAAAAAGGCATGCAAATGGCTTGATACTTACTTTCCTAGAAAGTCATCCTTGTCTGGATCTTCATCAAAGAGTTCAATCTCCAAGTCTTGTCCTGGATGTTCATAGACTAAGGCCTGGAAATATAACAAGATAGCCAATTCAGCTAAAAGTATGACTTAGATTACGAGGTTTTTAAATTAGATAAAAACATTAACAGATGATTGTCAAATATACAATGTTTTCTCTCCTATCTGATTAAAAATTTAGGAAGCCTTTTCCTCTGTGAGCCCAGGGCAGCACACAAGGGTTTTTATCCTTCTCTTTATCTTAGAAAACTTTTAAAGGTAGATTGTTAGTTATTCTATTTCAGCCCCAAATCATTCAATAATGTCCACGAGTAAGCAGGATCTTTAATCTGAGTCTCTCTTGCCTCAGTCTAGTATTATTAGTTATAGTATTCACTCCAAACCATTCATTTACTGCCATTTCCACAGTTTTTATGGTATAGATGAAATTGCAATTTGCTAGTAAATCACAGTTGAAGAAATCAGAGACAAGGTGAGAAAGAACATATACGAACCCTAAGGCTCATTTTTATACTAAACATAGCTTGGTATTTTATCTGAACTGTTCTACTGAAGTGCAATATCAATTTTTCTCCAACAGTTAAAAAAAATCATTTCAGATCAATGTATTTATAATAGAATTATATGATATCCGTCTTGAAGGTTCTAAACTCTTAAACACATTTTTCAAAACTAATACCAGGCAGTAGTTTCATACCTCATAAACTTCATTCCACTTTGGATTAAGATTTTCTTTGATAACTTTGCTTCGGAAAATTTGATTTCCCAGTTGAATGATTCCATAAGGATCAGACTTTCCCTTAACAAGTCCCTTTAAGTAAGTATCTTTTCCCTCAAGATCCTGAGCTTCAAGGAAGTGTATTCTTAGTACACCCTGAGAAGAGGTAAGAAAAGTTGACCATCATACAACATTCAGCGGTAAGGTATCATCAGCATAACTGAATGTTTATGACCTAATGAATTCTCTAGATTAAAAACTAAATTGGTTCTTTAACTTAATTTTTATGGAGGCTAGTCATAGCAGTATTGAATTGATTTTTAAAAATTATTTTGGAGACTAGACATAGTAACTATGCATTGCTAAACCTATGTAGGTAGTGAGTAAATAAAATAAATAAAGGCATATTTCCTCCTAATTGTATCTTTGCACTTTTAATAAAGATGCACAGTAAGTAACAGTAGGTCTGTGTGTCTGTGTGTAAAGCATCAAGATACAGCAGTGGAACTGAAGTTCTCCCCCACTCTTTGTACAGATGTGTGACATCAGCATATGCACTAAGAGAGTGGGGTCTTAAGCACAACATTGTAATCTCCATTTTTACTTTTAGGATGCCCCCGTGCCCGCCTTTGCCTTGTGGACATTGTTGAGACTAGGATAAAGGAGAAAAAACATCACAGAGATAAATTGTCATTAATTTTATGTTATTTACATACATCTATGTCATAATTTTAATAGTAGGAAATGGGTTCGGAGGGGAAAAACCCAACAATTTTTAGATGTATCTGAAAACTCAACTACAGAGACCAACAAAACCAAATACTTTGCATGTTACAGGTATTCAGAAAAGTGTCTCTTCCCCAGAGTTTCTTTCATGCTGCCATGGAAATCTCTGGATGGAGATTAGCATTTCTTAAATGAACTGGAAGAATTCAACTGGTTACAATTCACGGTGTCCAGACAATATCCCGATGGTGCAGAAAAGAGGTTTTCTGCTGTTTTGAAATTTAATGGTCCAACTATAGCTTAAAAGTCACATTCGGAGAATTGTTACCTAGCTGCTAGAAATGTATTATTTGTTCAGTATCCAGATTTTAAGCTCTTTTATAACCATTATTGTCCAAGATTGTTCTGCAAACACTCTGATAAACATTTTGTTATGTCAAAATTTATGTTAAAAAAAACCTTACCTTTGGTATGGGGAACCGCAATTGAGCAATCTGCACATCACTGACAAAAGGAACAGTGATTCGATTTGGAAGTACTAGATAATTGGATATTATATCTAGTATTATAGTGTCAGATAATCCACTAAAAGGGAAAAAAGTCAACAAAGTTATTTTAAGGTTAGCATTAATTACATATGCTGCCATTATGAAAACAATTACATACAAGCTGCACTTCTAATACGTAAAATAAATATACCAGTTGAAATTCTCTATTTCAGTCTAGTCTTCTGCTCAATCTGATTTCTATTTGCGAGGGGAATTGTCTGGGATATCGCACCATCAATATATTCCTTCTTCAATACATTTTCATCTTCCATTTCACAAACCAGCTATACAATTTACAAACTTTACAACAGGCCTACATATGAAAACATCCCGTCTTTGTCTTCCATGACTTATCATCATCTTTTACAGGCCTCTGTGATTTAGTTTATATGGCATTCAATTTTTTCATTTAAAAAAGGTTATGGATTGTCTCTATTATTTAGGAAGGAAAATAACAAGCAAACAACCAGCTTATTAAATTGAATCATGTGGATAAGGAACAATCCTGCCCATCTCCCTTTCTTGCAGAACATTTTCAGGAGAGAAATAAATTTTTGCACAGCCCTATTCCCTTTAAGCAATGACGATGATTTGCTTTCACAAACAATCCAAAAATGGAAGTAAGCCCCAAAGCATGTAAGAATTTCATCAATACCTTTGATCACCACAAGATGGAAACAGCCGTTTAGAAGAAGACAGATGGCCTTATTATGTCTGTATAAACCTTATTCTTTCCTTCCTGCATTATCTTTCATCATGATATATGAAGGTCTTACTGATTAGCTCAAAAGGTTCCTTATTCTGCATTTTTGTTTCTAACAGTGCAAATAGATGAAGCAGCGATAGTTTAATATTCACCATATATAAAAGCTATTGTTTTGTTTTTAAAAGCCAAGCAAACCAGCAAATAAAACAGGCTTGTCAGTTTGACTGCTTTATTGCCTTCCTGCATGCCTGGAAATAATGTCAATCCGCTCCCTTAGGACTTTCATCTTGTTTACAACAAATACTATGAAGTTAAATTAATTACGGCAAATATTACAAAATTAAATTAATTTAAAAATTAAATTTGGCCTGCCCTAATCCTAACCTTAACAAAATTTATTTATTACATTTCTACATTGCCCATCTCCCCTGCAAGGTGACTCTAGATAGCTTACACACTATAAAACCAAATGAAAAATAATTAAAAGATTAAAACAGACATTAAAATTATTAAAAATTATGCTTAGAAATAAATATTACAAAGTTCATTGTGGGAAATACTATAAAGTTAAATTAACAAACATTATGAAATTATATTAATATATGGGCATGCAACTATGTATATTTTTCCCATCACCTTTTTGGGAGAAAGGCATGGGGGAGAGAAATAAGAATGTAATGAAGTGTCTCCATATGACGAATTAGGAAATAATGAAGTCAATCCATTAATTCTAATTAGGATATCTTTTTATAGAATTGGTATGAAACATGAAGACTGAGTCATCTCCTTCCCTGCCCATAAATACTGTCCATAGACTTCTGTTGTCCTGTATCAAGCCAGGAAGTAAAACAATTTAAAAAAAAGGCTAGGAAAAACACAAGCCTTCCAGTATCTATCCAACATAATATGCTGGCTGCAAAGAAATGGAATGCAGAGAGCAGGCGGTGTGCAGATGTACATCAGGTATAATATAAAAGAGAGATTATTGACAACAGGGATGGGAACAGATGAAAGAAAATAGCCAATACTGCACTCTCATTAACATGAATCCACCAACTCTGTTTCTGGAGCTCCCCTGGATTTGCAAGATACATGTTTATAGCAAAATCCCAGTTTAAGAAAACAATGCTCTGATCTGGCTGGGTTTCAGCTCAGATCAAAGAGCAGCAAGTACCATGGGATTTAAATTGTTTACATGAAATGCAGCTAGTTTGTTTAATTGTAAAATATGCCTGCAGACTGCCCTTAGTTACTTTCAAATCGCTTCTAAATTAATGCATACTGACAAATTTTAAACAATATCTGGTACATCAGAGCAGCTGTCAACAATGAAGACTAATTAAACTTCATTGTGATCGTATAAACCTGCCTGCCTGCTTTGTCCTAATCTCTCTCACACACAAAATGTGTTGAAATTGATATTTTCCTTATGTAAACTACAAATAGTTGCTGAAACAATCCATCTCCTTTGAAGTAAAAAATCTCTGGGTGGATCAGGAAGGATAGCTCCACGAAGCCAGCTTACTTGTGGGTGAATAAAATTTAATAAATAAAAATATTTATATCCCCCCCCCCAATAGCAGGAAAAGCTTTACTTTAGGTTAACACATGCACACTTCTAGTTGCCACAATTCATCGGATTAAGCCAGCTACCAGAAGCAGTGCAATTCTGTATGCAGTCAAACATTATTAGATCATCAACAGGTGCTTTGGATACTACATCTCACTGATAATTCAAAAGAGGCCAGTGGCCAAACAAGAGACCACAGCAGACACTTTTTATTGTAAGGGTGATGAAAAGGACCAGTGTGTAATTATGAAGACAATTGTGCAGATGCTTATATCTCTATTAAGGGTGCATCAAATAAAGTCAGTCACTGTTTTTGGATTTCATCAGCTGCGGTTGGCCGATTGCAGCTTTGCTGATTGACGGTTTCATTTTTTTGCTCAGTCCATCAGTGTGATGCCAAGTATCCTACAGAGAAAGTGCATTTGGAAGGTTTCCAGGTTTTAGATTTCTGGCTAAGCATCCATGATTCAGCTCCATATAGTAGCAATAGTGGTATGAGTGAACAAAACGGTCACGGTTTATAACCACAACTGGGACCAGAATTTCCATTGCTAAGCAAGGCTGTTTGTTAAACAGGTTACATCAATTATATGTCCTTTTTGGATGTGGTTAAATGAATCACTCTAGCTGTTAAGTGAAGTACATGGTCCTTAAGCAAATCTAGCTTCCTGATTGACTTTGCTAATTAGATTGTCTGGCAGGGAAGTTTGCAAATGATGATCATGCGGCCTCTGGATGCTCCATCATGATGCCTCCATCATAAATACATACCGGTAGCCAAGCACTAGAATTTTGATCATGTGACTCTTGGGATGCTATGAAAGTCATAAATGTGAGGACTCGTGTGTGTCATTATTTTTCAGTGCCACTCTAACTTCAAATGGTCACTAAACGGGCAGGTGTAAGTTGAGGACTATCTATAATTTATGTCACCATAAGAAACATTTTCACAAGTGTGGAATTCATCGTTGACCTTATATATGCAGATGACTACAAATACAACCAAAAATATAATTCTATAAATATACCATCAGAATTAGCAATGGAATTGTTGCTACACATTTATTTAGGAAGCTTAACTTCTGTTTTTTGTGTACTGTCAATGGTCAGATTAAAGCAGAAGATGAAGCTGAAATATTTCAGCCTAATTAAATATCTGCAACATGCTGCAACATATTAAATGCTGCTCATTTTGTTAAGGTATGTGGAAATGTACACATCAATTGTATAGAATGGCTTCATCACTTAACCTTAACTTCAGGTCTAAAAATCGTTTGATTGCAACGCAAGCTGGAATGACTTACTGTCTTTCTTTGAAAGCATGACCCAACTAGAACACGACAGCTAAAATGAAAATAGCTTTTCATGCATAAAAACATGTTGTTTTCTTCTGCATGTTACGGTATTAAAGATGACAGCAGAGGCTGATTCATCCAGAAAACTGAACAGTTTGGAAATCTAATTTTGTTACTGATAATTATATAAACCTTTCCCCAATAAATATTTTTCAACAGTCTAAAACTAAAACCCAATCTATCCATTAGTCTGCAGCTTGTAAAATGACTTAATAAATTAAAAATGCCATTCACAATCCTATTCAAATAATCCTCAACATACAACAGTTCGTTTACTGATCAATCAAAGTTACAATGGAAAAAAGTCACTTACAACTGTTGCAGCATCTCCACAGTCACCTGATCAAAACTCGGACCCTTGACAACTGACTCATATTTATGACGTTTGCAGTGTCCTGGGGTCATACGAACCCCTTTTGCAACCTTCTAATAAGCAAAATCAATGAGGAAACCAGATTCACTTAACAACCATATTACTAATGTAATAACTGCAGTGGTTCACTTAACAACTGTGGCAAGAAAAATCGTAAGATGGGGCAAAATTCACTTAAAAGTTTCACTTAACAACAGAAATGTTGGGCTCTATTGTGGTTGTAAGTTGAGGACCACCTACATATTGTACCGTTTAATCCTTTTAGAAACTGCAGGCTTTCATTTGTGTTCCAAGTTAAAATCCATGGAGATCATCCAGGTCACAGTTGTTCCAAAGATGTTTTTTCAAAAGGCAATTGGACTTTCTGGCTTTTCTTTGAAGATGTTTCAGCCCAGAACTGAAAAAGCTTCTTGGATGAGAAGCGAAATGTCTTTAAAGAAAAAACAGAAAGTCCCATTGCCTCTTGAGAAAGCATCTTTGGGTCAAAATCAGATACTATACTCATCTAACTGACCAAGCGTTGATATTAACCTTATTCCCAACTCAAACAAAACTTCTACCCTTCCGGTGATAACCCAGGGCAGCATTATATAGCCCTCAGAATTTGGAATGCCAGATTGTGGAGAGAGCATAAAGGAGGCATAGCAACGTCCTCTACCTACTTTCCGGAAATTGACAGTTAAAGTTGCAAACAATAACGAAATAACACTGTAACACTGCAAACCAACTGTCCAGGGCCCAGGTCACATGACTGCAGGGATTTGAGACTGCCAGAAGACTGCTCATGACCACCATTTGTTCTGCTGCTGCACCATCGTAAGTTTGAATGATCACCGATGGAAGATATGCATGTAACTTTTTGCAAAAATCTGACAAACACATATGTTGCATATAAGTTGTACGTATCTATAGAAATAAATTCATTCAATTTCAGCTTACTTGAGTCCTGGAATATCCAGAAGATTGGTCAGTCCTGTCCAGTTAATTTCTAAAAGCTGGAAAGATATAAAAATAATATTAAAATGTTGCTTAGAGGAACCACAGCTTAAGAAGCAGGATATATTGATGGTCAGTAGAATTTCAACTAAAATTCTAAAACTGAGAAAACCTTGTGTTTTTAACTTTTTATGTACCAATGATCTGGTTAGAAACAATATTCTTCGAAAGTGATCTCCACCTGGAGCCTGAAATTCAAGCTCCAGAATTTATTAATATTATTATTAATATTAATAAATATTATTAATATTTATTTATAGAGCCGAGGTGGCGCAGTGGTTAAATGCAGCACTGCAGGCCACTTCAGCTGACTGCAGTTCTGCAGTTCGGCTGTTCAAATCCCACCAGGCTCAAGGTTGACTCAGCCTTCCATCCTTCCGAGGTGGGTGAAATGAGGACCCAGATTGTGGGGGCGATATGCTGATACGCTTCGAGAGGGCTGAAAGCCCTATGAAGCGGTATATAAGTCTAACTGCTATTGCTATTGCTATTAATGAGGACCGGGATTGTTGTTGAGGGGCAATATGCTGACTCTGTAAACCGCTTAGAAAGGCCTATGAAGCAGTATATACGTCTAACTGCTATTGCTATTTATTTGCAAAAAAAAATTAAATTAAATTATAGAATTGCAGGAATTGTGAAACTTAACATTCACATATTTGGAAATTGTCAAAGATCAGAAAGCTTTAAAGTAATGCACGTGTTTTTACCAGAACAAAACTGAGTCACAGGATCTCAATTTATGACTATCCAGAATAAGATAATTTAAAAGCAGTGAAATAAAATTTATTTTAGGAAGGATTTTTTTTTAATTCAATGTATTCAACATTTGTTCCATAGTGGAATCTGCACTTACATCTAAAATCTAACTACAGATAGTTCTTGCTTCGCAACATTTCTGTGAGTTTTGCCCCATTTTGCAGTCTTTTTGCCATAGTTTTTAAGTCAATCATTGCAGTTATTAAGTGAATCTTGTTAGTAAATCTGGCTTTCCCCATTGACTTTGCTTATGGGAAAGCCAGCAGGGAACGTTACATAAGGTGATCACCTGACTGCAGGACAGTGCAACTATTATAAAAACATGCCAGTTGCCCAGTGCCCAAATTTTGATCATGTGACTATGGGAATGCTGCACAGGTTGTTAAGTGTGAGAACCAGTCATAAGTCACCAAAGCAGTACTAAATTTGGCCACCCTAAGAATTATGGAAACTGTACCCCATACAATCCCTTCTCCACCCTCTGCCAGCGAAAATGGAGCTCGGGAATAGCCCTCGTGAGCTCCATTTTCACTGGCAGAGGCACGGCGGGCTGGTCCTTCTCCGTTTCCAGGGCAACCTCATGGGCCAGATCTAAGCACCTTGCGGGCCGAATCCGGCCCCCAGGTCTTCGACACTCCTGCTTTAGAACAATAAATTTATTCACCTGGTGATACAATATTAATGCAGAAAACCATGCTCCAGAATTTATAGCAAAATGGCTAATATTAATTTCTATAGCTGAGCACAAGGGTAAGTTTTATATACAAAGCTATCATAAATATATCATAGACCGACAGGCAGTACTCAACTTACAACCATAATGGAACCTGCTCATTATGTTTGTAACTTGTCATAGTTATAAAGCAGATCACCATGTGGCTGTATACATGTCTCTTTTGAGGTGGTGGTTAAACAACTGTGACTGGGCCATTTTTGCAGTAAAACAACAGAAAATGTGGCCCTGTGATTGCAAGACGCGGCAGGCCACTTGCCAAGTGCTCAGCATGTGCTCAATGTGCCTCTTGATTAGTTTAATGCATTTCTATGTTTGCCTATTCCTATTAAGATCTTTCTCTGAATAACATGCGTTGATTTGGTCATAGTTTTCCCTTTCAGAAGGCAACATTTTCATTGATTTCCAGGCTGCAGATATGCAATGTGACCCATTAGAGCAGTGTTTCTCAACCTTGGCGACTTGAAGATGTCCGGACTTCAATTCCCAAGTTGCCAAGGTTGAGAAACACTGCATTAGAGTATTGCGGAGAGAGTGGAAAAAATGTTCCCTTTTCCCCAGATGTCGGAACTTTTTTCAGTGATCTAAATTGTACTTCATTGACTTTCTCCACCTGAAGAATTTAAATTTATATGAGTAACAGTTGACTATCTATGTAGGTATTCGTTAATTAGGAAAAGTGTGTATCACTGCTGACTTCTTTTCATAAATAGTCTACTAAGTATAGAACCAATATCTCGATCATACATTTAATTCAGAAAATACACCATTTCACAGATCAAGTACAAAAAGTTACATACTAAAGAGCTAGATTTTAATCTAATCTGCTAATTGACCAATTTTTGATGTGATGTACAGAGAATATTTATATGCTTTAAAACAAACATATGCAATTCCACTATCTGAAACCATACAGGCCAGATGTAGTTTGATGCCTTCAATTTGTCTTGTGAGATATTTATGCCTAAATCAGGACTTTACCCTTTTTCAGTTATTAGGCCCATTTAGTATTTTGAGAAGATATTGTGAACAATCTTGCAAAATAACTGCAGAAAGGGCCTTCCCATTAACATAACAGCTATCATGGGACATACATCCAATTAAAAAGAACTAAGAAACAAATGGTTACAATCATTCCTAAGGGATATTCTCTACTTCCAGTTTATCCTTGTCTTTGTTCTGAACAAGGCAGATATACTTGCAATGACTAGACATAAACGTACACAAACATAAACACACATAAGCACATAACAACTCAGCATTTTTATGTACTAAGAATATGAGATGCATCAGAGACCCAGAGGCAGCGTTGACAACAAAGATTTGTTGATGGCTGACACTCTACTTTATGACATGCCAGCTCGTTTTTTATTTTTAATTAAAATAGCTTTTTGAATGTAAACAGATGGAGGCAAGGCGTATGTTAGGTCCCAGTGGGAATATTAGTGGGTCCACTGGAAAAATCAGTGAATCCACTGGCATCTATACAAGTTTTACCAATAACTTGCAAAGTTTAAACTGTTTTTACAATAAAGGCATGTCCTCAAATTAGCCCAAGGAGAATTTGCAGTTTGCAAAAAGCAAGTTTATTCCCCAGTATGAACCAAAGATAAAATTGTCAAAATCTACTAGCTTAAATAAAACAGATGTGTGCAGTTTGCTTGAAACCTTTAGTGCAAGAAAAGTTATAACAAAAATGTGATGTTTCTAAATCACTTTGTGTTTGCTAAAGATATTTTAATAAGCATCTAGCATTCATATCGCCTTCTATTAGCTTACTGCAATAACTGATTTTTTAAATACGATATACTAGGCAGAAGATGCCTGACAAAAACTTTGGCTCATGAACCACAGAAGACATAAGCAAATTCATTAGACAAGTATGTTCAGAACTATTAATTCAGGCAGTGCTACCATATATAGTCATCACAGCCAGCAACAGACACTGACTAGAGAGTGCACTGAATTATTGCCAAATGTTACTTTGGCCTGGAAAATATGAGAAGAAACATTACTAGATGCCAACTAACCCAACATTTCTCCCTCTGGACAAAATAGTGGTTTTCCCCTCTTGCTGTAGCCACTGACGATCCAAGGGATCCAAACAGCTATAATAAAATGTCTGCTTGTAACTCCGGAAGGAGGATATGTAAGAATTCTATTAAGTGTTTTAGATTATTGTATTATTTTATTGCAACTAATAAACGTTCATTTTGTTTTAATGGCACTATGCTGAAAAACCTTAGGATTGTAATCCTGGAAAATGATAATATCAATATGGGGGCTGTGCTTAAATATTCTGGCTGCAGACATTACAGCTGCCTTGACACTTATGAAGCTTACTCAGTATGATAGTTGTCTAAAAGACGTTTTAACAGAATTCTGGTTTATTATTACTGAGTAAACATTTTAATCTATATTTTAAGTCTTTACATTGCCTGAAGCATAAACTCCAACTTGTTAGTGCTCTAATAAGCACACACAAAAAAATAATTTACCAATCCTGGATTGTAAATTACTGAGAAAGATACACAAGCCAGATTTCTAGCTTTGGGCACAATACCGCAGTTGATTATTGCAAGAGGAACCAAACACTTGTCAATTATCAACTGTTCTTCAGAATCTTACAATATTATCCCTGGCTGCAGCAGACCTCCCGCCCTCATGGAAGGAGAATTAGAAATTGGCAGATGATCTGAATGTGTTACTACTGTAGGTTTAAGAGGAGACCATTGTTAACTATCACTACTCTTTCCATCTCAGATGAACAACAGTTAGGTCTCCTAAGCTTGACTTCATCCCTCTGGGGCCCCCACCTCTGGTGATCTCAGAAAAAGATTTGCCAGGTCTATTCCACAGGCAAAAAGGTGGAAAAGCACCAGGGCTGGACAGGGTAACTCAGAAGTGAAATCCAGCAGGTTCTGACAGGTTCTGGAGAACCGGTAGCAGAAATGTTGAGTAGTTTGGAGAACTGGTAGCGGAAATTTTGATTAGTTCGGAGAACCGGCAAATGCCACCTCTGGCTGACACCAGAGTGGGGTGGGAATGGAAATTTTGCAGTATCCTTCCCCTGCCACACCCACCAAGCCACACCATGCCCCCCAAGCCATGCCCACAGAACCGCTAGTAAACAAAATTGAATTTCACCATTGGGGTAACTCCCTCTTGCTTAAGAGTCTGATCAACTGGCCCCCATATTCCTTCTTACTTCAAATACTCTATTGCCCAAAAAACCCTCCATAAAGGAGTTGAAGGAGTACAGACCAGTGTCTCTGACATCCATAAGTATGAAAACCTTCTAAAGATTAATGCTGGTCCAGATGAAAGCCATCACGGACCTGCTGCTAGACTCCTAGCAAATTGTCTACAGTGCAAACAGGTCAGCAGATGATGCTGTCAATATGGTACTGCACTACGTCTTACACCATATTGAATCCCCAAAGAACTATGGAAGGGTCTTTTTTTGTGGATTTCAGCTTAGCCTTCTACACCCTCATTCCTGAAACCCTCCTCTCTAAACATTTTTCGAGAGGCAACTGGACTTTCTGGTTTTTCTTTGAAGATGTTTCGCTTCTCATCCAAGAAGCTTCTTCAACTCTGACTGGATGGTGGGGAATGGAAGGATTTATACTGCTTGCAGACAGCTGGACATTTGCATTCTTTTACCTGGTCGTAGAGGTCACCTGGAGGTTTAAAACGTTTTAAAAAGTGTAAAAAAGAAATATAGAAATTTCCACTTACTGGTTTCCTAAGGAAAAATAAAGATACTGCTCCAATTAAGGGTATATCACCAAGCAGAGGTTCCAAAATAACTCTCATTGTGCCATGAATCTAAAAGAAAAAAGAAAACAGCCATGATCACAGCACTCAGCCAGTTTGGAGTAGTAGTTAAAGGCATCATGTTAGAAACTGGGAGACTGTAAGTTCTATTCCGCCTTACACAAAAAATTAGCTTGGGTGACCTTGGATCAGTCATTCTCAACCATAGCAAGCAGGTAACGGCAAACTACTTTTGAAATCTTTCCCAGAAAACACCAGAACCCAGTCTATGAAGTCACCAGAGTAAATGGTTGACTCAGGGGTACATGCATGTATACATACACAGCACTAACCATGAATTAAAGATTACTTGAACTATTATATATTATGCAAAAGTTTTTTTTTTTAGTAAACCTGAATTTGAATAATGTTAAACAGAATAAAACTATACTATTTCAGTTGTAGCTGAGGACTGGAGGTACATTTATGGAAATGTGAACTGCTAACAAGGTATAGTGGATTAAAAAGAAAGAAAGAAACTTACCTGTATACTTTTCACTCCAGCTCTACAGAAGTATCTCTTGATCTCCAAATCAATTTCTGTGTTTCCCACAAAACTAAGAAATATAAGAAAACACTGTAATGTTGTACTATACATACAATCCATTAATAAATTGCTATTAAAAACAATTTCAGGAAAAGTTTAAGAATTCATTTTTTCCTCTAAATTATAACAAGACTGCAACCCAGTGGTAGTCAACCTGGTCCTTACTGCCCATTAGTGGGCGTTCTAGCTTTCATGGTGGGCGGTAGGGGTTTGCTATAACTCTGCTTTATAAATTTTATAAAGTAAAGTTACTTCCCTACTTTATCAATCACCATTAATGTGGAACCGGTGGGTGGTTAGAAAATTTTACTACTAACAGAGATACAAAAGTGGACAGTAGGTATAAAAAGGTTGACTACCCCTGCTGCAATCCACAGTGGCTTGGCTAATATGTACCTTTAAGTATCTTGTATATGTTATACAACCACCATCATAGCAAAAATATTGATCTGTTTAATGTTAAAATGTTTAATGTCAATTTTATATATTATTCTATATTGATTATATTGTACACCACCCAGAGGCCCTTTCTGAGACAGATAGGCGGTTAAGAAATAGGAAAATAAATAAATGAATAAACAAACAAATAAACAAATAAATATCATCAAATTAGTGCTGTATATTTTAGTAAACCTCAACTTATACCCTACATGTATGTATGTATGTATGTATGTATGTATGTATGTATGTATGTATGTTCCTTTCTTAAAAATTACTTATCACTGTATATTGCACATGGTTTTTTTATTTCCTACTCTCCCCCCTTTTAATTTAGTAATGTGCTAGTTTAGGTTACACATCTAACAAAGTAAACAAGACAAAAAGGGAAAAGGCTAGTTGATTGTATCCAAACAATTAATTAATGACCTTCAGGTCTATACGGATTGGCTTAAGACATTGCAACACAGCTTACCTGAAATATGATCTACTATTTGGACACAGACTGCAGCAGAACACTTTATCCGCTGAGTGCATAATGGCTGTGAACTATTTACAGCTAAATCAATCTGCAGATCCAAGACATGACTACAGACCAGTTACATATTTAGCCCCACTGCTTGCCTTTTATTTCATTAATATTCTCACAACTTACAAATCGATTGCTTTCCATACTGCGCAAAAGGGGAGAAGCAAAAGAGCTTTACTTTCAATATTAACGAACAAGAGTACAATTACATTATCCACTAAACTTTAAGCTCTTCATCATGAGTAGCATCAAGAGTATTTGCTCATTCAGAATGCAAAGCTGATACAGTCACTTGGCCAAAAAAAGAATGAAATGGGGAAGTACTATAGCAGTTAAAATTAGATTTATTTTTTCATCAGGCCATGCATCACTCTTAGGTGACATGGCGTTGTAGTACCATGCTTTTAGCATCCTAATGTTGTGGCCTGTCAACAGAAGACCCCTCCAGCAACTGAATCAAAGGAGGAGGAGGCGTGGGAGTCAGGGCCAGCATCAAGGCAACCTGAGAGCTCTGAGGGGGAAGAGGGAATGGAGCTGTCAGAGAGAGAGAGACAGAGGTGGAGCCTGGGCTGTCCATCAGCCCTCAGATGGAGAGTCAACAGCCCTCAGATCTGGGGGTGGCTGATGAGGAAAAGGAAAAACAGCTGGGACAAGTGCCTGACATGCAGATGCACAGAAGACAGAGAAGAGGAGAGCAGTAGAAATCTGTGGGTCGATCCTTGGGATGGAAGAGCCACCGCTGCTAGCGAAGCCCCACCCTAGAATAGATATGGCAGACAATTTATCATCTCCCTGCCGGAGAGACTTGTTAGCCTGCGGTGAGAGAGAAACTTTTTAATGGGGTTGCTGGCACTTCTAATAAAGGAATCATTGATTTAACTTCAGAGGGTTTGTCGTGTTTGGGGAGCTGGGTCAAAACACCTAGAAGTCTAGCAGCAATACAAACCTCCACCCCTGCAAGAAATCTAGAGAACAATTTTGCTCCAATAGCACCATCACACTCCCCGGCAGATATAACAGGGGAAAAAATTAGGGGTCTGTGTTTACACTTTTCATTTTTCCCATAATGCTCCTCTGGATTGCATAGAGAAAAAATGGGACAAACCCAGGCCCACCAATTAATGGATACATCAAGACTCAGCAAGGCTCAAAACAACTGCAAAATATTAGACTATTTCACTACCCACAACAGGCCTAAAACATCTATTCAGAATGAATGCAACTTTCATCCAAGATAGAGTGAGAAATTATTGAACTCATATCAGAATGTTAATGCTTAATATTGTTAATGATAGCAGTTTTAATTATTTTAGTTTTGTTAAAAGGCTGCCCAGAGTCATTTGCTTGTGAGAAGAATGACTCTATAACTTGACAGATAGATGATACATGATAGATAAATAGATCGATAGATAGAAAGATAGATAGATAGAAAGAAAGAAAGAAAGAAAGAAAGAAAGAAAGAAAGAAAGAAAGAAAGAAAGAAAGAAAGAAAGAAAACAAACTTTCAGGCAATCTCAGAAGGTGCCATCAAAGGCTTTAACACGTTAGAACAATTAACTGATAAGATGCTTATAAATCCCACTCACATACAAACTATGTATCTAAACTATCTTCCCCTCCTTTCAACTTCTGTCTTTATTCTATATCAGTCTAGTCACTTTATGTATCTGTTGAAAGCAATTCATGAAAGCTTATGCCTTCTAACGAAAGTTAATAAAAGGAACTACTTGCAAATAATATTGCCACCACAGCTTTCCTCCTTCAAAGTAAGTAACATGTGATTTATAATTTGAAGAAGTTTCCAAAAGCTAATTTAAACTCCAATAACATGAAAGACGGGTTTTTTTTCTCACTGACCCACCCACCCTAGAATACCCTTACTCCAGAAGTGACCCCCACCCCCACTTTCCTGGGCTTCTGAATAGAGGTTAAAACGTGGCCCTGTGGCCTTGCATAAGGTGCCCAAAGGAACACACAGGGATTGGTGGGTGCCCTGAAAGCCCACCCTTTGGCTTTGTCAACTAATTCTAACAATTAGTTAAAATTGCCTCCTTCAAAATTTTCATAATTTTATAACTTTAAAATTTTTTAATTCTAAAATGTTAACATCTTAATTTTTATATACTATTTCATATTTTAATGTTGTATTATACATGGCCCAAGTCCCACTTTGAGGGAGATGAGCAGTCCAGAAATGTGAAATATAAATAAACAAACAAAGCATATTTACTTTTATTACATGGCATTTAATAGTTTATGTAGGTAAAATCAAAAGGAAAAAAGAAAAGGGCACAAAAACTAAGTATTTGTTTTCAGATTTGCTAATTAGAACATTTTAAAACTTATTTTTAAAATGTGGGATTTCCATTTAATGGAACTCAACCAAGAGAGTCCAGATGACTTTTGGAAAAAGCACCTTTGAGATAAACGTGACTTGGATAATTGAGAATCTCCATAGATTCTTAATGAAACTTAGATGGTCTATAATCATTTACTTTAAATGTTAGTTTTTCATTATTAACTGCTAAAAATTGCCTAGATGGTAATAAATTTTAAATGGGGTAAAGAAATGTTTCAGGTTCACAATTAATAGAAAGAAAAAAGCTAGTTTCCAAACATATTTCTCTTTTTTTGTAGATACCTGGAATAAGCGATATTTGGAAACAAGCTTGTTTTTCCCCTGATTATTATAGCAATGACAGAAAAAAGAACTTAGACTAAATTCCCACAATTAACATATTTTTGTTACTGCCTTCATTAAAAATCTGGAGACGTAGAAATTGACACCCATATTAGTGGTATGCAACATAGGTTATCCTGCTTTTCAAGAAAACTCTTCTAAGTTTTATTCTGTCATCATACTATAGAACAGTAATATGTCATTTCTGCTAGCTTAATTTTTGTGCAGCAATGCTTAGAATAGCATAATGGTCCCATTAACACATAGTGGGTTTCTTTATTTTTATATTGAGCTAAAAGACATTTCTTTCTCCCGGAAGCAAGCACTGCAACATTTTTGCAATGAAGAACACATTTTAAGGAATTTAAGACACAATATATGCTTACTAAGCCAGGATTACCTGATTTGTAGATCCAAAATGATCTGCCTTTTATCCACATTTTCAGTATACACTTTCACACCATTAATCCTAATGGGCTGAAATAAAAATTCCCAATTTAATAGATCAATAGGTCTGTAAGAACGGTGCTTAAATGTAAAAGTCTTCCAGTTTATTTAAAATGTTGTATTATATAAAAACAGATCCAGATGCTTACAGAGCTGATAATGTCAGATTGAAAGGATTATTATGCTGAACTATAAAGAATATATGTATTTTAAAAGGCAGCTCACTTGACAAGCACTGCTCAATAGCAATAGCCTCAGAGAAAATCAGAGAAAAAAGAAATTCTTAGTTCAAAGCTTGCAGTCTAGTTGATTCTTTTCACCATTAATACTAAGAGAATGACTTGAATTTAGAAAAGGTTACTGCATTAAGCTTGCATGGCATGATGAGAAAGCACCTATGGAAATAAATAGCCCAGCTCTGAATTCTTTTGAAAATTAGAGTGAACTGCAAAAACAATTCCATCCTGCACATGTATCCCTGTAACTTATTCTTAATAAAGATGCATAGTTTCTAGTCACCATTGATAAATACACACACCCATATACACAAAGGCACCATGATATGCAGAGCCAGGCACCCATTGCTTCAGATTCTTAAATCAACAGAGCTGAGTTGAGCAAACAAAATCTGCTCTTAGCAGAAGCTTTAGTGATTATGTGGCTGCCCTCTGAGCAAGATTTTCCAAAGGAGAATGGAGCAACATTTATTCAGTATATATATTTAGACCGCAAGCATTGAGGTTCGAAAACCTGAATAATCTTGTAATATGAGAAGTTTACATTTTTGCAGCATAAACACTACTTTTATCACCATAGGAATCAAACAACTGATACAATACAGTATCTGCTAGATAGGAAGTATATCAACCTACTCCACCCAACCCAACCTAGCCCAAATAGTTATGCAAAATGTACTGAAACTCAAAACAAACCAAGATAGATACTTAATGTAGATACAAGGTAGGAGAGACAACATAAATCTGGTTCTCTCTTAGGCAAGTGTGTAGGCATACACACTGATGTATTTGTGTAAGTGATACTTAGACTATGAATCAATATTATAGGTAGTCCTCACTTATGACCCAAGATTTATGTTGCTAAGTGAGACATTTGTTAAAGTAAGTTTTTTTCCCTTTCTATGACTTTTCTTGCCACAGTTGATAAGTTAGAAAACACTGTTGTCCAGTGAATCTGGCTTCCCCATTGACTTTGCTTTTCAGATGGTTGCAAAAGGTTATCACATGACCCCGGGACACTGCAAGTGTCATAAACACATGTCAGTTGCCTAGTGACCTAATTTTGATCATGTGACCATGGGGATTCTGCAATGGTTGTGTAAAAAAATGGTCATGTCAGTTTTTTCAGAGCTACTGTAACTTCTAACAGTTACTAAACAAACATATTCTAAGTCAAGGACTACGTATACAGGATTCTTGTAAATTGTAGCATTCACTAATGCTAATTGTAATTCAAATAATCTGAAATAAGACTTTGGAACTAAAAAAATATTCTTCCATCAATGATAAAACACATTCAGAGAAACACACTCAATGAATTTTTTTTCATTTTTTTTTCAGGATGCCAATTTTTTGCTTGTCTTTTGGAACAAATCTGCTTCTCTGTGCAACAACTAAATGTTAAATAAAATCAAAGCCCTCAGTGACCTCAGTATAATATATGATGATTCACTCTAGTTTCCAGTGCAAAAAAAAACCATACCTGATTCCCTATATCAATTTTTGTGAAACTAAAAGTACTCAAATGGCTGTTTGCTCCTTTCACTGCAGGCTCTATTGTTTCACGGAAGAGCTTCTCAATAAACTGGCAAATGAAAGGCCACATATGTTTCACAGTCTGCAAAAGGAAAAGAGACCACTAAGTTTTCGATGTTAATCCATGATCATGCTATTAGCCTCATTTCATTTAAAATGTTAAATTCTGTATAGTTAGTCATTTATATCAATTTACCTTACCAGCGCCTTAATTTTTGTGGCCTCTTAATGCTACTTCATTACCATATAGTGTTCTACTGTATATACTCATTTGACAGTGAGATGAGTGGCATGTAAATTTAATAGACAAAATTTATGATTGTGTAAAGATAATCTCAGTGTGATTGTGGTGAAAGTGTCTATAGTAATAGACTGATTACCTCCCTGGGTTCTTTAGAAAAAGCCCATAATATTTTAATAAAGTTTATTCTTAAAATTTGCCAGATGTTCTCCATACTCTCTTCTGTCAGCTGAGGTCATTTTTAAATCTCTAGCTGCACTTCACTATATTTTACTCTGCTTTATGCTTGAGAAAACAATTATACTGATGGAAAATTCTTAACTGAATATTGATTTACATTTACATTCGATCACAATAAAATAAGAGGGACAATAAGCAGTCCAATAAATAACTGAATTCAAGTACACAGAACATGTTATATTCTATTTCTATATCATTTTCTATTGTATAACAGTATGTGACTTGCTGAGTGCCCCCAGACATGAAACTAACATATTATTTTAGTAATCCTGAGTTGCGCTAATCAAAATACCTCCTTATTAATTATATATTTTCCTAATTAGCCTTTTAAATAAATAAATTGGTGTAGTTACTAAGGGTTAGCAGCAACATGACACCACATAATCAGCAATCTTTTTTTTCTTTTAAAATTCCATTAGCATATAAAAGCTAGTGAACATTATATTACAACTACAATTTCAGAAAGATGAACCTTTTTGTATTTTGTACAATTGCTACCTAACTTTCAAGTCCAACAAAACAACCTTTGGATCTTTTAGAAGATCCAAAACAAAAGCACACCAAGTAAGAAATCTATTTTGCGACACAGACAACATTGCATACTTTTACAGTCTTCTAAGCAGTAAGAATGTCAGTTTACCTTATTTAGCCACTCTGCTCTTTCAGTATCTGGAAAGTGGACCTGGCATTAAAAACAAAAGTTACAAATTAAGAAAAAAAATCTTTGAAAAGAAAATCACAATGACTAGAAACAAAATGGAGGAAATTGAAAATAGGAAATGGCTTCAAATATATTAGTAGCCACCAGGGATGGGTTTTGGTTTCTTCTACTGCCGGTTCGCTCAGGGACGTGCTTCAGGCATGCGGGCACTTGAGGCGCGCTATGAACGTATGCGGAGTAGATAAAAATGCTTGGTGCTACCTCCGCTAATAGAACCAGTTCGGGGGCGTGGCTAGCTGAGTTACTACCTACTCGGCCGAACTGGTCTGAACCTGTAGGAACCCACTTCTGGTAGCCATTGATTACAATTTTCCCATCTAGCAGTGGCTGAATGGAAAATATGGCCTGGTAATTCTGAATAAATAAGATATATCTGATTTTAGCATAAATTTATATATTTAGAAGATATAATTCGGTTGCTAAACCAGTGCTCCTCAAACCATAATCTAAACCAGTGTTTTTCAACCTTTTTGTGCAAAGGCACACTTTTTTCATGAAAAAAATCACGAGGCACACCACCATTAGAAAATGTTAAAAAAATTTAACTCTGTGCCTATATTGACTATATATAAAGTAATTTTCCCAAGGCACACCTTACACTATGTCACGGCACACTAGTGTGCCGCGGCACAGTGGTTGAAAAACACTGATCTAAACCACTATGTAAGCCTTTCCCTCAGGAATAAAACTAATAATTCCATGGGTGCTAGGGCTGGATAAGAAATAAAGATGCTATTAGCTTTTAATCTATATATTGCACAGACTCACAAACTTTGCTGCAAACTAATTACCTATTACACCTTTACACAAGCAATTGAGGAACAAAACACAAAGTGAGTTTGGATAGTCCTCCCACTTGCCTGCCCAAGCCTACCTAAAATATATCAGTAAACCTGGATCCACAGTTTGAAAAGACTTTACTGAAGACGATTTATTGAAAATGTTTTCATCGTTATAGTTAGTTCATACAGGAAGACCAGGAAACATTTTCATATTTTGCTTCTTTCTTAAGTTTATATAATTTAATATTACTGGTAGTCCTCTACTCACAATTGGGACCAGAATATCTGTTGCTAAGCAAGATGATTGTTAAGCAAGTCACGTCCAATTTTACGACTTCTTTTGCCACAGCTGTATAGTGAATCATTACAATTAATGAATCAACTGTTGGTAAGTGAATTCAGCTTTCCCCCATTGGCTTTGCTTGTCAAAAGCCATATGACTAAATGATGATCATATCATTTCAGGATGCTGTAAATATATGCCAGTTGCTAAGCAGCTGAATTTTGATCACGTGACTGTGGGGATGCTACAACAGTTGAAAGTGTTAAGGACCAGTTACAAATCACTTTTTTCAGTGATGTTGTAATTGCAAAGGGTCATTTAATGAATGATTGTTATATTGAGGGCTACCTGTATCCTCAGAAAAACTATGAAAAATTTGACCAGTGATCTTCTAAGTATTACATCTTCAAACAATATAAAAGCATAATATATAATATGCTAACCACAATATTTTGATGCTCTTGTCACAAGAAATTATGATTTCCTTATGGATGAGTGAGAAAGCCTTTGTTTATAGGCCTCAGATTAGCTAAACTGGAAAGTAAAATGAGAGAATTAGCAACCCACTTCTATACTGTTGCCAAGAAAATGGTATGTGTATACCTATATAGTTACCAGAATTAAGATAGAACTTTTTTTAAAGGATTGAATGAAACACACACACACACAATTATTCAGTGTTACCTAAAGAAATGTAAATATAGTAATCCTTGACTTCCAATCATAATTGAGCCCAAATTTTCTGTTGCTAAGTGATACAATTTGCCACAGTTTACAACCTTCCTCACCACAGTTGTTAAGTGAATCACTGCAATTGTTAAGTTAGTGGCAAGGCAGTTAATGAATCTGGCTTCCACACTGACTTTGTTTTGAAGCAGGAGGAGCTGCTACAATTCGCCTAGGTCCGGGAGAACCCGTAGTTAACGTTATGGCCTGTTTAGAGAACCTTCAAATCCCACCCCTGGCTGGCCCCTCCCATCCCACCTCTCCCATTCCTCCCCTCTCAGGAGTCTCCACACAGCCCGTTTTGGATGTGAGGTGTGAAAGGCCCATGTGGAGGCTAGGGGAGGGGGGGAAAGGGCCTCCTAGAGGCTCGAGGAAAGCCTCAGGAACCCGGGGAAGGCAAAAATGTCACTAGGTCACGCCCACCCGGCAACCAGGCAGAGAATCTGTTGCTAAATTTTTTGAAGCCCACCTCTATTTTGAAGCCTTGAAGATTGCAAAAGGGGAATCATGTGAGCCTGGGACACTGCAAAATATGAATCAGTTGCCAAGTATCTGAAATTTGATCCTGTGATTAGGGGGGGATGCTGCAATGGTCATAAGTGTGAAAACAGTCATAACTCATTTTTTCAGTGCCATTGTAATTTCGAACAATCACTAAAATGAATGTTCCTAAATTGAGGACTACCTGTAATTAGGGAGGCATATCTTAACCCTTCCCTCCTGATCCATATTACCATTGCAATGGCTGAAGCATTTACCCCTAGCTAAAAACTACTGTATACCAACCACACCCTTAAGCTATACCTAACCAGCCTTAAAACTGAACCAACCAGTTCAGATCCTTCAGCTAATAGTTTACCAGCATTCTGGAGATGAACTTTTATGAGATAATTGACACTCAGTAATGGCATTTTTATTGATGCTTCTGGTTCACTCCAGGGGGGGAAAACCATAAAAACAGATGTTTGACATTTTTGAAATGGCTTGCATATAGATTTTTTTGTTTTGTTTCAAACTTGCAACAACCCGGCTAAAAAGGTTAGTGGTTATTTTTAATGTGCTTAAGTACATGAGAATTATCAATAATATATATTGGACGCTTCTAAGTATTATTATACAATATTTTATTTATACAGAACTCAAGTACAAGGGCCAGTCAAATCTGATGCACCCGGCAGATTTAAGCAATGTCTCCATACAACTTACATTCAGATCTATTCGCAGTCCAGGAAAATTAAGACTACTTTTTTGAGTCCAAATAAACTCATATTTTGGCATACCATTGCCAAAAATAATTAAGTTCTATATTGCAAGATTATAAGCACCTATGAAACAACTGAGAGTTATATAGAAATCTTCAAGTGACAACAGGCATTTTCTACAATGTTATAGTCATTTCTTCTATCTAAGTGTAACAATTGTGACAGATCAAAGCACCAGTGTCAAACTGACCTTGAGTTTGCGGTTGGCAGATTAAATACCAAACATGCATGTTCACTCTTTCAGGATTTTACACATTTAAGGAAGTCTCTACTCAGAAGCCAACAAAAACAATTCCCTTAAATACCACAGTTTAATTTTAGTGACAAGTGGTTTGGAAGAAAATGATTGTTTAAAGTGTTTTTTAAAGGAAGTTTTGTAATAGCATCATTTCTATGCCTCAACCTCCTGGTTAATACTTTTCCAACAACTTTCGAAACTATTTTTTTAAATTACAAACCACTATTAGCACCACCTTAGCAGGGGTTAAAAGATTTTACAACTGAGTTATGCAGATCATCATGGTTTATTTCTTCATTTCTCTATGGCTGCCTATCTCATATAATTTACTCTAGGTCACAGGTGTCAAACTCGCGGCGTCACAATGCCATCATGTGGCATATTGTAATGTTTTATCCCTTCGTGGAGCTGGGGTGAGGGTGGCCAGCACGTAACGTATCCAGCCCATGGACCGCCAGTTTGACAACCCTGCTCTAGCTAGTTCACAACAATCCATAAAAAAACCTTAGTTTAAAAACAAAAGCACCCTTCCTTTTCAACCTATACCCCATGCCAGACCAATCATCCTTGTAGCTCACTCAACCCCCATCCTAGCCCAATGATTGAGCAAAGAGACCGGTCTTCACAGCTCCCTGGAAATCTAAAAGGGTGGGGGAGCCACTGAGAAAGTGTGACTCAGGTGCTAATATTTAAAGGAGGAGATCTAAAGCATGCCCACCCTAGAACAAGGAGAGTTAGTAGTGCAAGTAGCTTCGCCTTTCCCCTCCCCACCTCAAAATAGGCTAGTATTTTAAACATCTACTTTTATCAATCCATTCCTTGCAATTACGTTGGATTGTTTTTTCTGCATCCTTGAATTGCATAAGATATTTAACTCACTTCCTCAAGCTTTCTAAAAGAAAAGAATCACAGCATAAAATTTAAATTAAAAATTAAATTTGTGTTCTATATTGTGCAATTTGTTCTCCAAATAAACTACAGATTCTCAGTTTGCAATACATTTCTAGGACAAACTAAAATAATTAACAAGTTGCTCTGCAACCTGTACAATGGAATTAGATAATGCTTTATATGATTATATTATCCGTGCGCCTTCGGCATTTATTCATGCCGGCCACATGATCATGGAGATGTCTTTGGACAGGACTGGCTCTTTGGCTTTGAAATGGAGAAGAGACCGCCCCCTAGAATCAGGAACAATTAGCACATATGTCCAAGGAGAACCTTTATCTTATATGACTTAAGGAGAAAATAGGAAAAATCCCTTATTATATTCAATAGAAAAAGAAGTACATATATTGCATCCTTATAAAAACTATCACCATAAGCCATTTCATTGCCTGTACTTGCTAAAAGAAGTATATTCCATTATACTGCAAGTAAGCTGCCACCATGTATGTACTTAAATCATTTTTAGAAGCCAAACAAATGCAAAGACATATGGTTTAGAGAGAAATTCAGTACCTATTTTATTTTCAAGCATATGGACAGTTTAGCTTTGAAAAAACCTTTGTCATTAAGCAATAATTAATTCTGAATCCTAGCCTGAATGTTAGAGATTCATTAAAAAAGAGTATTAATATAACAAAACATTTCAGCAACTAAAATGAGTATTTAAATGATAGGAAAAAGCAACAGATATTTTCTAAAAGCAGGTGTGAAGTCTGAAA